CCTTTGTCTTCGTATATCCTGTGTCTGGACCTTTGTCTTCGTATAACCTGTATCTGGACCTTTGTCTTCCTATATCCTGTGTCTGGACCTTTGTCTTCCTATATCCTGTGTCTGGACCTTTGTCTTCCTATATTATGTGTCTGGACCTTTGTCTACCTATATCCTGTGTCTGGACCTTTGTCTACCTATATCCTGTGTCTGGACCTTTGTCTGCATATATTTTGTGTCTGGGCCTTTGTCTTCCTATATCCTGGGTCTGGACCTTTGTCTTCCTATATTATGTGTCTGGACCTTTGTCTTCCTATATCCTGTGTCTGGACCTTTGTGTTCCTATGTTCTATGTCCGGACCTTTGTCTTCCTATATCCTGTGTCTGGACCTTTGTCTTCCTATGTCCTGTGTCTGGACCTTTGTCTTCCTATATTCTGTGTCTGAACCTTTGTCTTCCTATATTATGTGTCTGGACCTTTGTCTACCTATATCCTGTGTCTGGACCTTTGTCTACCTATATCCTGTGTCTGGACCTTTGTCTTCCTATATTATGTGTCTGGGCCTTTGTCTTCGTATAACCTTTGTCTGGACCTTTGTCCACCTATAACCTGTGTCAGGACCTTTGTCTTCCTTCACCCTGTCTCCGGACCTTTATCTTCATATAACCTTTGTCATGACCTTTGTCCACCTATAACCTGTATCTGGACCTTTGTCTTATTATATCCTATGTCTGGACCTTTATCTTCCTATAACCTGTGTCTGGACCTTTGTCTTCCTTCACCCTGTGTCTGGACCGTTGTCCAATATCCTGTGTCTGGACCTTTGTCTTCCTTTAACCTGTGTCTGGACCATTGTCTTCCTAACAACTGATTGCCCGTCCTCGGCGTTCTTCCACAGGGGGCAAACGTTCGGTACCACGATGGTGGCCGCGATGGGGAGAAGGTCTTGACACTGAATGGCAAATAATCTGGAGACCGTATCTGATGTAGAGGTCATAGGGTGGTGAATGAAACTGAGGAAGAGCTGTGAGAGCTCTTCAAGAAAGACAGGATGCACTCTGTTCACGAGGAGGAACAATGACGTCCTGCAGGAAACTTGGGATGCAATTCTTTGTTTAATTGAACAGGATGGTATGTTGAAAGTCTTTCGTTCTCCATTCGTGTCCACAACTTCAAAGGTTGGTTAAACGATAGTAGGGTGCTGGAATGTGTGCATTCCTACAGCTGTTAAATAACAAGTATGGATATCAAATGGATATTCGGAGTACATTGATCTGATATTGTTCTCTTCCGCTGATTTACCCACCTGAAGTAGAAATAAAGGAGAGAAGTGAGACCGCCTCTACTGTTTCATATTTCCCCACGGGACTGTATGACAAGAGGGATGACTTCAACTTTCCAATAGTCATCTTACTCTTGATGTGGAGCAATAAATATTCCAGGAGCTCCAGCTTTTGGTGTTCACATTTCACAGCTTTTGAGATACAGTCGAGCATGCTCTTTCTACCAAGATTTCCAAGAGCGTTATACGACTCTTGACATGTTGAGAACAATTCCAAATTTGACGCATCAGTGACAAAAATTATGTCCGATTGAATTCCCTGTTTTGACTTGTACCATGTGTTCCCGTGTTTTTTTCAGGTGAGTAATTGACTTTCCTTTGCATGTGTTTGTGACGGGTGCCATCGGTTGGGCAAGGTACGCTCACCTTTTCGCGAACACCTGGTATCATTACTATTTAACAGTGATTCATAAACACATGCTCGTGATGTAGTCGGAATCGTACAATCGACTCTGCTTTATGCAGAGATTTCTATTGAATTAGGAAAGGGTTTTGTCGCTTTATTTTCATGTAATAATGTGCATAATTATAATGCGCTAACACTACACCCCAAAGCATGCTCAAAGTGCTACATTATTACCTTCAATGTCATTCTCAGCTCCCTGGGGGGTATACAAACCATGCCTGTGAGGCCTTACAAGCATAATAGTCATAATCATCGCATCCTTTCGGATACCCATTCACTGCTGGGTGAACAGAGGCATATTTCGAACAAAGCCACTCAACTTCACCTGATTTGTGAAGTGCACGGGTTCACCACATGTCAATGAAAACGTCATTGTGTTCTGCCAAGTCAGAGAGTACATGTTCATCCCTGTAGTTAATGGACGCCAATTTCTCTGTTGCGTCTGTGTTGGAGAAGTTCGATGCATTCCGGGCGAGATGTATCTTTCTATGTCATCATGACAGAGGTCCTGCCTGTGAGGATTTGGGTAGCATCATCAAGATGCTATGTTCAATCGATTAGTGTATAGTTACCAACATACCACGTCAATTCCAGAGAATAACCAGTCTGGATTATCCGACAAAACAGATTCCATTGAGCTAAAAAGGGAAATTGAGCTTAAAAGGCAAAATGGCAAAACTATCTTCATCCCTAACACTCATGTCACACTGAACAATCTGGCATTTTTCTAAAAGCAAAATTTCTGACTAAACCATCTACAGGCACAGGGGCGGTCGGGGAGCCTAGTGGTTAAAGCGTTCGATCGTCACGCCGAAGACCCGGACTCGATTCCCGACATGGGTACACTGTGTGAAGCCCATTTCTGGTGTCCCCTGCCGTGATATTGCTGGAATATTGCTAAAAGCGGCGTAAAACCATACTCACTCACTCACAGGCAAATAAAGTATCTGATGCGGTTATTAGGTACCTATTGACAAATGGGACATTTTTCTTGATATAAGAACTTAACACCCTGCAGCCACAAAGTACTACATACAAACCATTACAGGTTGCAAATGGAATATAAACACAAATGCCGATAGGTGAAAGGTGTGGCTGTGTGTGATTTCGGTCGACATGGTAGTGCTTTGAGAAAGTGATATTGACATTTCATGAACAAAATCTAAAAGCTCAGTTTGGCCAGCCGATGAATCTGGAAACAAATATAGTCAGACCTTTGCCACTGTTGATTATCTATTGTACAATTAAACGACTACAAAGTGGAAACTGTTGTGTGAAAGCAAGTACGTTGATGGATTGGTTGTGTGTTGTGTGACGAAACCAAAGAAATGACAACTGCAAATATCAGAAACTACAATCAGAGTTTCAGAGACCGCCTCCGTGGTCTAGTGGTAGAGCGTCCGCCCGGAGAGCGGAAGGTCCGGGGTTCGATCCCCAGCCGCGTCATACCAAAAGACGTTAAAAGAAGGTACTTGTTGTTCCCATGTCTGGCGCTCGGCATTAAGGGGCTAAAACAAGGACTGGTCAGCTCAGATAAAGTATACTGTGTCTGAGTGGGGTATTCATGTTAAACTGCGGCATGGTATCTCAGTGTGCTAGCACTATAAATCGGCATTAGTCCGGACTAGTACAAGCAGCCACACACACACGTGCATGCACGTCGCTATATAAGTGCAATAATCTTGGATGCGACGTTAAACCCCATTTCACCTCACCTCACCTCAGAGATCAAATTTAGAATCTAGGGCCAGTGAACACTATACATTTGTAAAGCCCGGCAACGTTAATTCTTTGCTGTATTATCTGGAACAAGGTATCTGTTTATGACGACAGTGACTACGTTGTCAACATTATACACACTACAGCAATACCCCGGGGGACAAATATGTTTGTACCTACTTGTTCTATAGAAACCAGATCACCAGCAAATGAAAGTTGTGCTCTCGGCTAGCCAAACAGTAGACGCCCAAAATAACAATACAAAGAGATTGACATGATATCGAGTGCAATATAACATTTGAGATTGTTTGATTCTTACGACCGCCTCCGTGGTCTAATGGTAGAGCGTCCGCCCGGAGAGCGGAAGGTCCGGGGTTCGATCCAAAAAAAACGTTAAAAGATAGTACTTGTTGTTACCCTGTCTGGCGCTCGGCATTAAGGGGCTAAAACAAGGACTGGTCGGCTCGGAGTCAGTATATACTCTGTGTGAGTCGGGTATTCATGTTAAACTGCGGCAAGGTATCTCAGTGTGCTAGCACTATAAATCGGCATCAGTCCGGACTAGTACAAGCAGCCACACACAAACACGTACATGCACGTCGCTATATAAGTGCAATAATCCTGGACGCGACGTTAAACCCCATTTCACCTTCACCTTGATTATTGACAAACAGCCATCATGGATCTGGTTCATTGCTAAGTGCGGCGTTAAACAACAAACAAACAAACACATATTACATTGTGCGTGACTGATATATGTCGACCAATATCTAGCATCTTCTTTTTAATGATTTAATGGTTTCACATTTACTGGAGTACAATATAGGACTAGTTCACTACATATGCCTAATGTTTATATATAGGAATCGTATTTATGTTGTCTGGTTTTACACGGGTCTCTCTTACATAACGGGCAGCGATATATCACCGTGGCTTACTTGCATGTGTCACCCCTACCAGACCAATGTCTCATGACGTTATATTTCAAAACGAAACTCATAATTGTTAGGGAATCTTTAAGTTTTCATACGAGGAAAAGTGTGCAATCATCTAAAGTACCAATAATTCCCAATTTTAAATTCTTGATTTAAAATTGACAATATAAACACAATCGACAACCCGCTCTCAAGAAGTAAACGGATTTTCAACATAGAAAAACCTCGAAATGGTCCGTTTTCCAGGTACGTTCCTTCTTCATGGCGTGCATTTATAGAATATTAGCATCTACGTGCAACAGACAGTTGTACCTAACAGTGATATCTAATTATGGCTTTACCTCATTATCTACCCTTAAAACAGTAAGCCTACAATGGCGAAAACACAAACATACAACTGGCAAAGAATACACAATATAGAATTGGCAATCGTCCAGACTTGTTGGTCAGCGGATGTCCTCCTCAGATGACGCCATGTCTGACCACGAAAATCCACATTACTGTTAAGCCTATCTGTACTAGATATTGTCAGGACTGTCACGAGGCACGAGATTTGTCTTCTTTAGACATCAATGACCAATATATCTGTCTCTCTGTCTGTCAGTCTGTCTATCCAAGAATGAGAAACAGTATTCCTGCAATGGTGAAAGTAGAGAAACATACAAAGAAAACACCATCCAGATATCTGTCCAGTGGAGCTGTTCTGTTTTTAAAGCAATGGATTTTCTTCCAGAGTTTGCGATCCGTTTGCACGGCAGGGGTTTCGGATGCGGTAGGCCTGGTAATGGTATTCTGAAGACAATCCTGTGGAACAACCTGTGTCATCTTGGCACCGCTCTCCTTCCTGCTCATCTGGCGGTAGTACATGTTCTGTACCACGATGGTGGCTGCAATGGCGAGAAAGCCCTGGATTTGGATAGCGACGAGGTAGACAGAGAGATAAGAAATAGTATCGGACGTTGAAGGCATGGAATCGTGGATCAGATTCAGGAACAGTGCGTTGGACACAAACACGGCCATGAGGAAGCCCATCTTCTCCCCCGAGCTAGCCGGTACCAGGAACACAAGGCAGTTGAGGAAAGACAGTAGACACATTGGGAAAACCAGGTTCAAGACGTGGAACAAGTACTTTCTGGACAGATGAACGTGGAATACTGCACCTTGGGATGAAGACTCATTAATAATAATTAATGAGGACGTGACGTTGACGGTCTGCCACTCTCCATTAGCGTCCAGCTGCATACCATAGGTGGAAAAATCGACGGCTGGATGAAGAAGGATGTCATATTCATTCAGTGGCATCAAATTCATGGGACAAACCTGGCTATCAAATGGATAACGTGAGAGGAAGGTCTTGCATATCACTGAAATTGTCATAGTGTTCTTCCAATTCAGATAGCCGTCACTTTTTAAATGAATTGGCGTCATTGTCGCCAAAGCGCCATCTCCAAAAGCCTTGTTTGACAGATGCACATTAGGCTGCCATACACTGTTTAAAGGTATCTCTACTTGACTGATGTTAGAAAAGTCAGATGTATTCCAAGCTAGAGATTTATCCCTCCACCTCATATTCACCAAGGATCCCAATGTGAGAACCTGGGTGGAATCCACAAGGTCGTGCACCTGCAGAGGCCCAAGTCTGACAGACACATGGATACTGTTTGTCTGTGGATCCAGTGGTGGTATTTCAGGATTAAGACGTGTCTCAAGATACGATTTCAATCTCTTCATACTCTGAATCGGAGCAGGTGGAACGTCGGAGGCAGTAAGTGACGGTAAAGATGTACCCACGATTAGGAGCGCGAGACTAAGACAGCCCATCTTGAACACCAACAACAATGGGGTGACCTCACCGTGTGCTGTGAGTTTGTTAACACGTTTAAGCTATCTGTATGCAGTGACGTTCGTCGATTGGTCTTGATGCCATCAGTTGCTATGTACAAAGTACTTGAATTTACCTCATCCAAATGCATCACTTACGGTAAAATCCATATTACTCGTGCAAATCACTTACCGAACATGTAGGGAAAGTCTATTACCGTTTTCATAATGCATGCATTGGAGAATATACAGTGTCATTGCAAGGGTCCTTTTAAGGTATTGTCCTACATTGTGTCGTTGAAGAAATAAAATAAAACACAGTATAATTCCAACCGTAACAATATTTCAGCTTTTATGACGGCGGTCTGTAAATAATCAAGTGAGTGAGTGAGTGAGTATGGTTTTACGCCGCTTTTAGCAATATTCCAGCAATATCACGGCGGGGGACACCAGAAATGGGCTTCACACATTGTACCAATGTCGGGAATCGAACCCGGATCTTCGGCGTGACGATCGAACGCTTTAACCACTAGGCTACCCTACAACCCGAAGACGCATATGAAGTCTGGGATGGGTGCAAATAAATAAGTTTGGACAGATTCAACTAGAAGCAGCAAGGCTAGTTCTGGGTTTACCGCAATATCTTTACTATGGGTGGGTGAGTGAGAGTTGGGTTTAACGCCGCTTAACACTATTCCAGTTATATCGCGGCGTGTCAGCTTAATGTGGGAGAAAAGCCCGAAGTGATGCATGTCTCAGACGTTTACCACTTCGGTGAAACCCTCGAGCATGGGTATGGTGCTGACAAACCCAGAAACATAATCGGGGCAAACCGGATTTCGAACCCACAATCATAGGTTTCTGGCGTGCACAAGGGACGCAACTCTGCACAACGAATCGCGGCGCCTTAGACGACTGGGCCACCCGTGCCCCCACCAAGAAGTGTTGTTAATCCTTTTCCATTTGTGAATAAAATATGTTAAAATTGACGCACGCGTGTTTTGAGAAGCGGTCGGATTTAAAACTTCGCAAGATACATTTAACCTAGCAAAATACTTTCATTATACACTTCAAAGTCAATACGAAGTTTTGACCTGTTTGGACTGCCATCACGCCAGGGAGCGTTTCAAAGGTCGTGGGTCAGATTTTGTCACTCAAATGTTGCGTGTTGAGTGCAGGTGTTTACAGAAGAGTACCGCCCCGAGTGCTGTAATGGCAGGTGTAGGATCGAGATCAAAGGGCCAGCACCGCTACCATCAGACAGACGTGCTATGGCCTTTGAACTTTAATACTGCTACATGTGCATATCAAGGTCACGTGTATATTTAACTGTCTTGCTTTTAAAGTTGGCTGCTATTCCGCATGAACCTCGTGGGAATTCCGGGTTAGAGTTGGGCCCACTTGCACAAAGCGATCTTAGCGCTAAGATGATCGTAACTTCCATATTTTCACATCGACTTACAATATTCGTAGCGCTAAGATCGCTTTGTGCAATTGGGCCACGGAACCTATGCTTGTAGTAAGGGTCGAATGAATGGATGAGTTGGTCAGGCTTGGTGACTTGGTCGATTGAGTGGATCGTTGCTCCTAATATCAGTCTCTGGTTTGTCTGGTCCACATATATTCCCTGCTTTAATAAGTGCACAAAATATGATATCAGGCAACGCCCATGTTGATATAAACTGGGTTTTTTCAGTGTTCGAAATACCTGCCTGTCCGACCGTCCGAGACGGGTTGATTTCAACTCGGGCTGCCAGATTTTCAAATCCCCCTGCCCGACGGTCGGGTTATATTTCATATGTGAAAATATTCAAAATATTTCCCGATGATAAGCATTAATTCACATGTAAAGATGAATGATAAAATGTAACCAAAAAGAAACCCCGTTAGCTTATCCTGAGAAACATATGATTATAGTGGGCAGGCAGGTTTTGGTCAGGGCTGGCAAGTATTTCAGCTAGCCAGTCCTGTGGTCTGGCTGAATTTTTTGGGAGTTTCATACCCTGTTTTTTTTTAAATTTAAATAATAGTGTTCGATCATTGATCGTGTAAGAAGCTTTCGTCCCCTATGAAAGCAACCAAGTCTCCGTCCGTGGTGATCAGGGTTAGTTATAACTGATCTTCAGCAACCAAGGCTTGTCTCCGTCCGTGGTGATCAGGGCTAGTTATAACTGATCTTCAGCAACCAAGGCTTGTCTCCGTCCGTGGTGATCAGGGTTAGTTATAACTGATCTTCAGCAACCAAGGCTTGTCTACGTCCGTGGTGATCAGGGTTAGTTATAACTGATCTTCAGCAACCAAGGCTTGTCTCCGTCCGTGGTGATCAGGGTTCGTTATAACTGATCTTCAGCAACCAAGGCTTGTCTACGTCCGTGGTGATCAGGGTTAGTTATAACTGATCTTCAGCAACCAAGGCTTGTCTACGTCCGTGGTGATCAGGGTTAGTTATAACTGATCTTCAGCAACCAAGGCTTGTCTACGTCCGTGGTGATCAGGGTTAGTTATAACTGATCTTCAGCAACCAAGGCTTGTCTACGTCCGTGGTGATCAGGGTTAGTTATAACTGATCTTCAGCAACCAAGGCTTGTCTACGTCCGTGGTGATCAGGGTTCGTTATAACTGATCTTCAGCAACCAAGGCTTGTCTACGTCCGTGGTGATCAGGGTTAGTTATAACTGATCTTCAGCAACCAAGGCTTGTCTACGTCCGTGGTGATCAGGGTTCGTTATAACTGATCTTCAGCAACCAAGGCTTGTCTACGTCCGTGGTGATCAGGGTTAGTTATAACTGATCTTCAGCAACCAAGGCTTGTCTCCGTCCGTGGTGATCAGGGTTAGTTATAACTGATCTTCAGCAACCAAGGCTTGTCTACGTCCGTGGTGATCAGGGTTAGTTATAACTGATCTTCAGCAACCAAGGCTTGTCTACGTCCGTGGTGATCAGGGTTAGTTATAACTGATCTTCAGCAACCAAGGCTTGTCTCCGCCCGTGGTGATCAGGGTTAGTTATAACTGATCTTCAGCAACCAAGGCTTGTCTCCGTCCGTGGTGATCAGGGTTAGGAATTGATCTTCAGCAACCAAGGCTTGTCTCCGCCCGTGGTGATCAGGGTTAGGAATTGGTCTTCAGCAACCAAGACTTGCCTCCCCCTTAGAAGATCCGGGTAGGAATTGGTCTTCAGCAACCAAGACTTGCCTCCCCCTTAGAAGATCCGGGTAGGAATTGGTCTTCAGCAACCACGGCTTGCCTCCCCTCGCGAAGATCCGGGTAGGAATTGGTCTTCAGCAACCAAGGCTTGCCTCCCCCTTAGAAGATCCGGGTAGGAATTGGTCTTCAGCAACCAAGACTTGCCTCCCCCTTAGAAGATCCGGGTAGGAATTGGTCTTCAGCAACCAAGGCTTGCCTCCCCTCGCGAAGATCCGGGTAGGAATTGGTCTTCAGCAACCAAGGCTTGCCTCCCCCTTAGAAGATTCGGGTAGGAATTGGTCTTCAGCAACCAAGGCTTGCCTCCCCCTTAGAAGATCCGGGTAGGAATTGGTCTTCAGCAACCCATTGGTCGCAATTATTTACAGGCCGCTGTATATAGCTGGAATTATTGCAGAAAACATACAAAAATATTTACAATATATTATAAAAACCGAAGAAGCGTTCGTAGAATCATCGATAGACGAGTAATGTGTGTTCTGAAAAGACTGATTGTTTGATTTGTGTTTCTCGCCGCACTGACCAATATTCCGACCACAGAGGGCGATCTATAAATAGTCTAGTCTGGCCCAGACAATCCAGTGATTGATATCATGAGGATCGATCTACGCAATTGGGATACGATGACAGGGAAACAACCAAGTCAGCGAGCCTGACCACCCGATCCCGTTAGTCGCTTCTTAGGACAAACATGGGTTCCTGAAGGCCAATTCTATACATGGTCCTAACGAGGGGAGACAAGCATGGGTTGTTGAAGACCAATTCTACACGTTTCTAACGAGGGGAGACAAGCATGGGTTGTTGAAGACCAATTCTACACGTTTCTAACGGGGGGAGACAAGCATGGGTTCCTGAAGATCAATTCTAAACATGGTCTTAACGGGGGGAGACAAGCATGGGTTGCTGAAGGCCATTTCTATACATGGTCCTAACGGGGGGAGACAAGCATGGGTTCCTGAAGATCAATTCTAAACATGGTCTTAACGGGGGGAGACAAGCATGGGTTGCTGATGGCCGATTCTATACATTATCCAAATTATTTACTTCGGTGTCAATCGCTGGATTGTCTGGTCCAGACTTGATTATTTACACACCGCCGTCGTTTTGCTGGAATGTTGCTGAGTGCGGCGTTAAACAAAAATTTAAAACTAAAACATGCTTAAAACATAAACATACAATACACATCGCCATCAACCAGCGCTGTTGGTGTTTTTTATTAATTTTTTTTTTTTTGGTTTAACGCCTCACTCAGCAGTATTCCAGCTATATGACGGCGGTCTGTAAAAAATTGGGATATGATGACATGTATCAACCAAGTCACCGAGCCTGACCACCCGATCCCGTTAGTCGCCTCTTACGACAAGCATAGTCGCCTTTTACGGTAAGCATGGGTTGCTGAGGACCCATTCTACCCCGGATCTTCACGGGTCGCTCTGTTGGTACCAAAGGTGTCTGCTGACTTTGACAGAAATATTACGTCAGATACAATCCGTAAATACTGGCAAAACAAGCACCTGTCTCTATAAACGCACATATTTATTTCAGTTTGGCAAGAATAACTAAACATGTTGCATAACTAGTTACATTAACGAGGGAATGCATGGATGGATGAATGATGATTTGCGCCATGGCATAATGCAACTGCAAACCGCATATGATTTGTTTGAAACACACAATCATTAAAGTGAGCTGAATGGGTTTAACGTCGCGTTCAAGATTATTACAACAATGTGTTTGTGACGTCTATTCACGCGCGTACGTGAGCGTGTCAGTGTGTGTATTTCGTACAAGTCTCGGCTCATGTCGGTTTAATAGTGCTAACCACCTGAGATACCATGCCGCAGTTTAACATGGATATCCCGCTCAGACACAGTACACTGACTCCGAGCCGACCAGTCCTTGTTTTTCCAACGTATGCCGGGTGCCAGGCAGGGTAACAACAAGTATACAATCTGGTAACGTCTTCCGGTATGACGTGGCCCTGAATACCGTCTAATTTTTCACTTTAAGTCTCATTTGTTCACCTCTGAACCCCGAAAACAAATAACACATGTATAAAACACATGTCAGAATACATCCTCCAAAGGCAAAACGTCAATCACAGATGTGATTGGGTCATAAAAGGGTGCGATTATAAGTTAAATTACTGCCCAAAAACATTAAAATATACAAAGGATTGTTTTACGCACACCAATATCTTTGTTCAAAATGTTGATTCTGCGTACCAAATACCCTCTAAACAGACCCCCGAATCCTACGTACCTGAAGGGTGGGGTGGGGGTGGGGAGGGGGGTCTATAGCCTCATTGTTTGTCACCGTACCCTCACAGCGTGGATTGTTTCTCAATTTGGGTGGCCTAGTGGTTAAAGTGTTCGCTCGTCACGACGAAGAACCGGGTTCGATTCCCCTAATGGGTACAATGTGTGAAGCTCATATTTGTTGACCCTCGCCGTGATAATGCTGGAATATTGCTAAAGCCGTCGTGAAACCATAGTCACCAACTCATATTATCAGATACTGTTATCTTGCCCAGACTCAATAAGACACACGGATATCTTGTCCATAACATAGCTGTTATATTGGTGTGAAAGGACATATATTCATTCACCCCTCAAATGCATCATGTAATGTATCAAGTTTCAGTTACGTTTCTACGAAAGCCTATTAGGGCCAAATTCATTGATAACATTTTTTATTTAAAAGTTGTAATTACAAGTTGTAAAGTTGTAATTACAAGTTGTAAAGTTGTAATTACAAGTTGTAAAGGTGTAATTACGACTTATTAAAAGTTGTAGTTACCTGTTTTTAAGGTGTAATTTCAAGTTTAAAAGATGAAAATACAAGTTTTTAAAGGTGTAATAACTAGATTTAAAGGCGTGATTACAAGTTTAGGAATGGAAATAACAAGTTTTGAAAGGTGTAATTACAGGTTTGAAAAGGTGTAATTATGAGATAGAAATGTGGAATTTCACTGAATGATCGAAACATTTGAAGTTCCAATACAAGTTGTAATTACACCTTTAGAAACTTGTAATAACACCTTTACAAGATTTTATTACACCTTGAGAAACTTGTAATTACACCTTTACAACTTGTAATGACAACTTTACAACTTGTAATTACAACTTTTAAATAAAAAAAATGGCCCTAATAGGCTTTCATACGTTTCAACGGCATTCTTTTTATTTGACATCATTGTGATATTATTCAGTCGATGTTTTTAAAGACAATAGAAAATCGTTTTCCTTGTTTCCCCATTTACGTCATGCATAGGGAACTATAAAGACCTGCACCATGAGCGTGGAATATATTTATTTTATGAAAAAAAATATATCTAGAAACGCATACAAAAGCAAGTCTAACCAGCTCTTGCTAGCTCTATTCCACATCAGCAAAGGGAAATATTTATTTTTTATTTTTAGAGTCAAGAAGGATATTGTGTAATATAAGATTTCAGAGGCTAAATGTTAGGCTAGAAACTATGCACCATTCCATTTTTGGCTCACTGCTTCAAAACATGTAAAGGAAGATCCGAAATATTTTATGTTTTTTTCCAGACAACATGCCCAGCAAAAATCTGCTGTGGTGGTGTAAAGACTGAGGACAAATTGGGTCTTGTTCCACGTTTTTCTGCGTCAAATTATTATTATTTTTTATCCCCAGTCCATTAAATGGTCGGTCTCCATAAATTAGCATGGTGTTCAAAGTCGACTTGCACCTATGGCGTACGTGACCCACGCCTCGCCCGGCACGTTCACCTGTCAATCATCGGTAGTGTCGGCACAGCTATCGAGGCCCATCCCAGGATCAAAGCCCGGCCGCAGCTCCCCCTAGCCTTCATCCCCACCCCTTTTTAACTGTTATCTGCTTTGTAGACACCGACATAATTGTTTTTGAAGTTCGGTATTCCCACGCAAAAAACATGATTGTTGAGCCTCAGGAGCATCTGATGCTACACAAAATCCTATGTTTTTCAAAAATCAAAATGCTACAACCAAAATGCATTGTTTGTTAGTCTCCTATGGAATTGTTTTGTTAAGATAACATGTAGACAGAAATAATATAATAATAAGTCATCTAAGAGTCTTTAAATTGTGAGTGGGTAAAATGACAGTAAATCAATAATACGAATTTCAGGTTGCATATCTTGTGTAGCCAGCTCACCCTCACCCTCAACACCATCCATCCTCATCCACAGGCGCCTCAAAGATCATCCATCCTCACCCACAGGCGCCACCTCAAAGATAATCCTTCCTCACCCACAGGCGCCACCTCTGCCTCAACACATCCATCCTCACCCACAGGCGCCACCTCAAACATCATCCATCCCACCCACAGGCGCCACCTCAAAGATCATCCATCCTCACCCACAGGCGCCACCTCACCCTCAACACATCCATCCTCACCCACAGGCGCCACCTCAAACATCATCCATCCCACCCACAGGCGCCACCTCAAACATCATCCATCCCACCCACAGGCGCCACCTCAAACATCATCCCATCCCACCTCACCCTCAACACCAACCATCCTCACCCACAGGCGCCACCTCAAACATCATCCATCCCACCCACAGGCGCCACCTCAAAGATCATCCATCCTCACCCACAGGCGCCACCTCAAAGATCATCCATCCTCACCCACAGGCGCCACCTCAAAGATCATCCATCCTCACCCACAGGCGCCACCTCAAAGATCATCCATCCCACCCACAGGCGCCACCTCAAAGATCATCCATCCTCACCCACAGGCGCCACCTCAAACATCATCCATCCTCACCCAGAGGCGCCACCTCGACCTCAACACATCCATCCTCACCCACAGGCGCCACCTCAAACACCATCCATCCTCACCCACAGGCGCCACCTCAAAGATCATCCATCCTCACCCACAGGCGCCACCTCAAACATCATCCATCCTCACCCACAGGCGCCACCTCAAAGATCATCCATCCTCACCCACTGTCGCCACCTCAAAGATCATCCATCCTCACCCACAGGCGCCACCTCAAAGATCATCCATCCCACCCACAGGCGCCACCTCAAACATCATCCCATCCCACCTCACCCTCAACACCAACCATCCTCACCCACAGGCGCCACCTCACCCTCAACACCAACCATCCTCACCCACAGGCGCCACCTCACCCTCAACACCAACCATCCTCACCCACAGGCGCCACCTCACCCTCAACACCATCCATCCTCACCCACAGGCGCCACCTCACCCTCAACACCATCCATCCTCACCCACAGGCGCCACCTCACCCTCAACACCATCCATCCTCACCCACAGGCGCCAACTCAAAGATCATCCATCCTCACCCACAGGCGCCACCTCACCCTCAACACCAACCATCCTCACCCACAGGCGCCACCTCACCCTCAACACCATCCATCCTCACCCACAGGCGCCACCTCAAGGATCATCCCATCCCACCTCACCCTCAACACCATCCATCCTCACCCACAGGCGCGACCTCAAACATTATCCCATCCCACCTCACCTTCAACACCAACCATCCTCACCCAGGATGTCAAAGAGTCACACACACACACACACACACACACACACACACACACACACTTAATCTTCCGTTATTACTACGTAAAACACAAACTGGGGGTCAGTAATACAAGGCAATGTCGACATGGTTCTACTTTTCGTCAAAAAAATTTATTTCCACAAGATTACATGATCAATACCTACAAGTATGTGGAGAAATAAAATAGAAGATATTGCAAAATGCGCTTAATTTCAAATCATCGACTTTCAATTGAAAAGGGAAGATGGAACAAAACACCGTCAGCAAATAGATCACGTCCATTCTATGATACGAGACACATCGGTGTTGAGTATCAGTTTGTAATATTGTGTCCATTTTTTAAAGAAAAGAGATATATTTGTCTCCCATTATATTATCGTAAATATCCAAACATTGCGAATTTTGACCTCCAATTGTCCGCTACAAAATAGGATTGTTAAAGCAATTAAGTAACTTTTGTAAAGTTATTATGCAAAAAATTAGATAACATGTTGCATGGCTTACAATTTGTACCAACTATTATGTGTTATGTTGCAACACTGACTGTCCTCTTGATACCATCGCAATTTGTACTTGCACAGACCACGGGCTGAAAGTATCAAGTTCAGTTCAATATGTCCCTGGTATATTACTTGTGTTTGTTGGTTGTTTTTTTTAACGCCGCAATCAGCAATATTTCAGCTATATGACGCCGGTCTGTAAATAATTTGAGTTTGGACCAGATAATCCAGTGATTGACATCATGAGCATCGATCCACGCAATTGGGATACGATGACATGCATCAACCAAGTCAGCGAGCCTGACCATCCGATCCCGTTAGTCGCCTCGTACGACAAGAATAGTCGCCTTTTACGGCAAGCATTATTTGTAAGAATCTCTGAGATGACTGACTGCTTCCCTACATACATATCAGTTAATCAAAGCAGATATTGAGGCCGTAGTGCCCGAAAACAATTGATATAGGTTTTGTGTGCATTTAGAACTGATAAAAAATAGCAGTACTCATTAAAGGACAACAAACATCCTTCCGTCGACATTGTGTCGAAATTGATAAAGAGTCCAAAGGTCTTAGAGTACAGACACAAACATGCTACACGTCCTTCCCGTGACAATACTCTTAAATATCACCGGACAATGATTTACAACCGACCAATGGTCAAGTCGTCAAACAAACGTATCAAAGGGGACACAGTCAGTCTGTGTACGTACCAGATATACAAACACAACGGTGATCTAACGTCCGTTTAATTACCCCTTTTACACAGCGTATTGCTTGGCATGTGCAGGTGTGATGGGGAAATCCCCCGGCAATTAACAATGATTGCGGTGATATGAACAACGTCTTGTGACGTAATGAACAAGGTCCGCCGCTAATTATATATGTATATCTCTTACGAGTACTCCGCATATTCAACGAGTCTATGAGATATACATGCACTCAACGGGTATATTCCTGATTGCAAACTGACAAAATCCGGTGAAAAATGTATGAGAGTACAGGAATTTCCAAAGGAAATATTCTACTTAAAGGCTTACATGAATGCATGTTGGTGGCGGTGGGGAGGGGATGTGTATTTTATTTCACTATTTAACTACAGTGCAGCCTTGCTTGACAACGGTATAATGATCTATACAAAAACGTCACCTTTACAGTAAATAAAGAAGTTATCCATAAATTGTGTCTACTTTGCCATCCGTCAACTTCTAAGTAATGCAGGGTTGTCAGGTAGCCTAGTGGTTAAAACGTTCGCTCGTCACGCTGAAGACCCAGATTCGATTCCAGTCATGGGTACAATGTGTGAAGCCCATATCTGGTGTCCCCCGCCTTGACGTTGCTGGAATATTGCTCAAAGCGGCGTAAAACCATACTCACTCACTCTCTAAGTAATGTCTATCACACAATTATAGTGCAAGGTGCATGGTGTTTATATGTTTATTTTATAATTAGCTATGATGTGTATTTCATTTCGTTATTTAACAATAGTGCTTATGGTGTATTAGATCATTTATGTGAAATGTGTTTTTTAAGATTTTGATGTCTCGTAGGCCAATGGTGGCCGACCGCTGTGCATTTAACACTCTCATTTTATGTATTTGCAGTCTATACAGCGGGTGAAATTCTGATAAAACATTCTTCTTCGTTAGAATGCGTTTATATTCACCAGGAATAAATGAATCAATCAACATCCGGACTTAATATACAGTAAACCAAATATATACAATCCAGTATACAACACAAACAATATAACTAATACTATACCACTACAAGACTAGAACCCTTGACATATAGCGGGACAGGCGACCACTCTATCACCAGTGGACTACCTACCCACTGTAGACTCTTATTCAAAAACATTATTTATAAAGCACTTACTACTTATAGTTTGGGTTACAGAACATCTGACATCTTCATCAAGTGTTACCATGGTGACATAATACCTTGACATCAATGACGAAGCATTATTAGGTCGTGACTAAAGGTTGAGTAGGCCGCTCGCGCATGAATGTCAAGGACAAACGGCTTGACCCAATACTTGCCTAAGTTCGATCCTTCCGACCACGATCCACCCTCCTCCTCCTATTCCCCTCCCCTCCCGGCATACGCATACGACATCTCGGTAACCTACCACTGCATATTGAGACCGGCCGATACACCGAGCCTCGCCCACCTTTGTCTGAAAGAATATGTAAATATTGTTTATACTCTAACGAACAAAATGCTCCCCCCACTTATGTTCTAGATGAATGTCATTTCTTAATCGATTGTAACTTTTATGATGATTTACGCTTTGATCTTTTACAAGAACTTTTTGCTATTATTAGAGATTTTTTAAATTTCGGTAGCTTAGATAAATTGATTTTTATCATGCAAGAGGAATCACCGCGTCACATTTTAGCTAAATGTCTGTATCATATGTTTAAAAGAAGGCAAAACTATAAAAGTTTAATATAATTGTTGTTGTTATAATTGTTATCATTATCATATTTAAAAATTAAAGCATCCATTTAACTTTTATTATTATTTGTACATCTATTTTCTGTTTCTTTTCACAAATGATACGTGTGTATTTTAATGTCTCATAAGCCTCCCCCCCCCCCCCCCCCCCCCTCTCTCTCTCTCTCTCTCTCTCTCTCTCTTTCTCTCTTGTTAACACGTGTTCACTAGACGCACCTCTCGGTTTCAAACAGGTACATGATACTATTTCGTCATTCAAATCACCCCTACCCTGCCTTCCAATATACAACCCCCAGCTCTCCACTCCGCCCCAGACCTTAAGATACCCCCACCAGACATCATTCATCCCCCGTCACCCTCAAATGTGCCACACAGTCCCCCTCCCCCACCCCCAAAGCACTTTAACCCCTCCCAACCATGTCAACGCATAACACATACTATCCTTTGTCTTTAACCAACCCCCCATGTACTTGTCGCGTCACGAAATCGTCGTCTTGAGATAAGACTGTGGACCAGGAAGGCGCGGCTGGCCACCTACATACCTGTGTTTGTACCTGAGCCAGCGTTTTGTCATTGCCGTGCCGGCAGTATATAAACCCAGCGAGTCAAGGGCGTGAGTCGGCACATATGTGTCTGTTCCGCGTGACGGGGACAGTGACACGTGCTACGCTACGGTGGAATTGGTCTGCGGCCACCAATATCAATGTGGAAATGCCCGTCCTTCTCTACATCACGTATATAATATTTGGTTTAATTTATCAAGGTCGTAAAGACCCCCTTGTAGGATATAACAGTGCCAAAACGTGGGAAGCCGTCTTATAAAAAAAGATCTTCGCATCTATTTAAACTTTTGTATGTTAGTCAATATATATATATATCCTTTAAACACATGCACTATATATTACGTTACGTATATATATATATATTTATTTATATTAAAACGAACAAAATCGTGTTTCTTTGCACCGATTTCAACCTTTCAGGTGTGTTTGTCGGATTCAAAATTTTAGAAATTGAGGTTTCTGGAAACATATTTCTTCGTAATGTATGGCTACAGGGAGAGGTATGTCATGTCACGATGACCCATGATTTAAGATACATCATATACATATATACCGCTAGCCCTGGTAACAATAAACTGTGTTTGGATACCTGCATGTACTGTATCGTATACTAATACCGTCATATCATCCGTGAAGATCCGGGTTAGAATTGGTCTTCAGCAACACTGCTCGTCGAAGGAGGCTGTACTAACGGGATCGGGTGGTTAGGCTCGCTGACTTTGTTGATGCATGTCATCGTATCGCGATGCTCATTATGTCAATCACTGGATTGTCGGTTCAAACTTGATTATTTACAGACCGCCGTCATATAGCTGGAATATTGCTGAGTGTGGCGTTAAACAACAAACAAACAAACAAACAAACAAAACATAACCAAACCATCAAATCTTCAGGTCAGCAACAGACCTTCATGGGTCCATCCATTCCAAGTGCATGTGTCCCCAGATCCCAAGACCATCCATTCCAAGTGCATGTGTCCCCAGATCCCAAGACCATCCATTCTAAGTGCATGTGTCCCCAGGTCCCCAGACCATCCATTCCAAGTGCATGTGTCCCCAGGTCCCCAGACCATCCATTCCAAGTGCATGTGTCCCCAGGTCCCCAGACCATCCATTCCAAGTGCATGTGTCCCCAGATCCCCAGGCCATCCATTCCAAGTGCATGTGTCCCCAGATCCCCAGACCATCCATTCCAAGTGCATGTGTCCCCAGGTCCCCAGACCTTCCATTCCAAGTGCATGTGTCCCCAGGTCCCCAGACCATCCATTCCAAGTGCATGTGTTTAAAGGAAAATCCCCAGACCGCCGTTAAATTAACTTTGCTTGCGAGGTCCGGAAGCTCTTAAACATTGGGGATGCGTATATAGAATAGAGTAAGACCATCCATGCCCTAACACTATCCACACAAAGATAATGCAAGGTGTTTAAAGTATACCTTAACATGCATGTGCAGTTGTTTCTTCATATTTATACCAGAATACCAGCAAGAGACTTCCATTTTGTTAAAATCCACATACACCTAAAACACACACACACACACACACACACACACACACACACACACACATATACATGTATGTACGTACTCTTCCGAACTCGATTATTTAAAGACCGTCGTCATATAACTGGAATATTGCTGAGTGCGGTGTTAAACAAACAAACAAACGTTATATGAATATATAAATACAAGGCGACCTGGACCACACAAACCAGTGACTGAAAGCATGAGCACGTGACCACCTAATCCCCATGCTCGACTCTGGTCAACGTGAGACACCAGCACCTGTATTCTGACGCGGATTCCCTGAATGACGTGCACCTTGAAGACGCTTTGACCTGTTCACGCAAATATTCACGGTACTTGTTAAACGTGTGAAGATTATATCTGTCTATATTTTCGGCTATCAAAAATGTAGTAGCAGAAAGTGCAGGTAGAATGTGCCGTGCATTAGCCATTGTTTTTATTGATGTCTCGTTACGTGCGTCTTATCACGTATCACGAGTGCTTGGCGCAAGTTGCATATACAAGTCTATACGACAAGGAGATTTGTTTGCATACAGTTTCATACTGTGACTATAGTCAGTCGAGCGTTAGGTTTGCACTCATAGAAAGAGATATACAAAGCTTACACACAAAAAAACAATTAAATAACTTGTCAATTTCTTATACTTTCAAAACACATATAATATACGGCTATAGCCACGTGGCCTAGAAAGTCTCATATACTCATGCATGATATTTACGCAACTCGGCAAATTCCTGGTGGGTTAGACAGGCAAGCACTTTGACCGATAACTATGAATTGTGATAAATCTGATTACCCGTCTAACGCTAAATATCACGTGACATTATGACTGCCCCTTGATCCCTATCCAGTGTCACGTGACACTGCACTTTTTGAAAGTGTTAAAAATCTAAAAAAAATTAAGGATATATATTTCAGTGCTCCAAATACATACCCACCCTCTGCGCGAGGGAAAGGTGAAGTGATCTAGTATTTGACGTGTTGAATTAAACACGATCAGCACTGGTTTCTCGTGTTTTAGAGAATATTGAGGTTTTAACCCAAAGTGTCAATGAAGAATTTACTGTAAGCTGAAAGCAGGAATATGTCAAGTCTTTCTTGTACAAATGTGTTTAAACTTTTCCACTGAATCAATACTAGATCACTTAAAACCTTCTTGATATTACACACAAAGCTCCATTGGAAATGCTTGCGTATTTACATTATAAATTTAAAAAGGGTTTCACGTTGTAAGAAAATATTTTTAAAGTAGTTAAGACGGTTTACGTTAAGCGTAGACGAAGTCAATCACACCTAATTGCCACCTACTTTTATGTTGGGGCACGCCTCCATGAATGAATAGCGATAGATTTGAGATGGTTTCGGGGTTGAACAATCTGATCCCCCCCACTTGCCAGTGAAAGTCACAACATACATGTCAATGACCCGCCGGAGCCGGTCAATGCAAATATGCTCGAACGAAAAGGAGAGAATACATTCAGTTTATCAACACAGTCTGATATACATTACTGAATAAACAAACAGGGACAAGCTGACGACAAACACGGACCTGAACACAGTGACTTGGGTACCCTGACTGGCGGGGCTCGGGGATGGTGTTGGGCGGAGAACAGGCGTGATATGAAAGTGGGGGTGGGGGTGGGGGGTGATCAGGGGGTAGTGTGGTCACATTATACTGTAGAAGTTGTCGCTTGATAAGTATTATCACAACGTGTGAATATTTGGCGGCTCTGGTATATAATACACATTTCTCGACTATATAACGTCTGACAGATTTCTTGACAGGGTTGTGCGTTAGATTATTTTGCTTGCCTTATCTTCCATGTTTTTAACAAAAATGGGTTCTGAATGTCTTATATAATTAGAACTGAAACGTTGTAATATTCGTCCCAGTTTTGTCTTGAAAAGTAACCTTGAAGCCGATTATCACCACGTGTTTATCGTAAACGGTGTTGTAAATTTCAATACCCGTTATCTCTTTGCCACGCCCCCTAGCTTCAGAACAAAGGGGCGTGTCCACTGATGATTTGCATATCTATCAGACACGTCACAAAACGCATGCGCGAAGAAGAACTAGTAGCAGAAGATATCTTTACGTTGAGTTCAGAGCTGCAATGACTCGGGGGTGTCAGCCTTTCAACATGGATCTCAGAGACGACAAGGAACTGCCACAGGGAGTTGCTGGCGCCCCTAATGAAGAAGCGCTTCTTGCTTTGATGGAGAAATCAGGATATACAATGTTGCAAGAGAACGGGCAGAGAAAGTACGGTGGGCCTCCCCCTGAATGGGACGGGCCGTCTCCACCAAGGGGTTGTGAAATTTTCATAGGCAAGATACCTAGGGATTGCTATGAGGATGAACTTGTGCCGGTTTTTGAAAAGATTGGTAAACTGTATGAGTTTAGACTAATGATGGACTTTTCTGGATCGAATAGGGGCTACGCTTTTGCCATGTATACCAGAAAGCAAGATGCCCAACGCGCTGTCAAGGAACTGAACAACTTCGAAATCAGGAAAGGTCGTCTGCTTGGAGTATGTTCGAGTGTAGACAATTGCAGACTGTTTGTAGGAGGAATACCAAAAACAAAACAGAGGGAAGAAATTCTCCAGGAAATGAGGAAAGTGACTGAAGGTGTTGTGGATGTGATAGTGTACCCCAGTGCTATGGATAAAACGAAGAACAGGGGCTTTGCCTTCGTAGAATACGAGAGCCACAGAGCTGCTGCTATGGCTCGACGAAAGTTGATTCCTGGAAGGATACAATTATGGGGACACCAAATAGCTGTTGATTGGGCCGAACCAGAACAAGAAGTCGACGAGGATATTATGTCCACAGTAAGTTTAAGTTAACATTGTATTTGGAGCATGGTATCTTGAGAATGGCGGAGTGTTCGTCCAGAATCTGTTACACCTTTGGTTCGTAGGTCATTGTGACCCTGATATTTCTTGCAAGTCTGCAGTACTAGACTGCTGCTGGTGTCTTAAACGCTGTCTTTTACATGTTACATCTAAGCTAAAATAAGAAAAATCAGCTAACGAATGGTCAATCCCGATACGTTCTATATTTTTCAAGTGTTTGACATTTTCGTTTTCATTTAAGATTAATTAAGATAAATTTACAAAAAGACCTAGGCCTGTTGGTGAATGAAAGATGCCGAAAAATTAAAAAATCAATTAGAGTCTACCAACTAACAGTAGACCTATACATAATATTTTGTTAGGCCAATGTGGTTTATTTTAATCTTAATGACAGTCTCAGTTAGCTTAGCCATTTTAAAATGTGAAAAGCTGTAAAAAATTAAGAGTTACTATTGGTCTGAAACACTTCTAAATTCAAGCAATAGTGGCTCAGTATGCCTTGGTCTGTCATAATCGTCTTCAATACAATCACTTTCAGTTTCAAGGTAGGCAGATACCTAGGTCATTTCAGTGATGTTTGAGACAAGTGTTGTAATATACATATTACATAATGATCTGTGACAACAGATTGCAACACTGCAATACTTAAATCACTGGAAATAATTCCAAATTATTTCAGATATGAATGATTCTGTTTGAAGTTCCCCTTATGAAATGGAATGCATTATTTAGGTAGTGGTAGTCTAGGCAGAGTTTAAAATAAAGCACTAAAGTAAGGACTATTACCATAAGGTTAATAGTGAAAACTTCAGGGTGTCCCTAGATTCAAGTACAGTGAATTTGCTAGTGACACATTCAATGACATCCAGTGACTATGTCCTAAAAAATAAACCGATCTGACAGGGACAGAAATTAACCAAGAAAGTCTACAAGCCCAAATAGTGATAACATTTAGCAATACCCCCAAAATGTTAGAAATTCTATAAGCCCTTTGGATACATGTACATTCCTTTAAACCTAACATTAACAAAGCTGTTCCAGGCTATCACTAGTATCAGGCTTCCGTCTAATTTCTATCTGCCTGAAACCCTGAAGTATCTCTGACACTTAGAGACAGAATACTTTTCCTTGACTGCATCAAAACACACATTTTATTTCTCTGTGAAAGTAGGAGCAAATTAATTTTGTTTTGTAACACAAAATTATTTTATTATTTTCTTCCAGTACTTTCTGGAAAAAGTAATGTTTCACACACATACCAGGCCACCACAGAGTATTAAATGATCGATAAAAGAAAAAATACCATATTTGAGGTCACAAGACATTCATATTTTTTTTGTTGAAATATTCAGTTGATGACATGGCGATGACAATGTTTCATGTAGGGCTTTGTTACACGAGTCATAATATTGGACCTTGTAGAAATCATAAGGCACTGGGACAGTCGCAGCAACTAGTCTAATAAGACTATTGGTCTGAGACTAGTGAAAATCTAGAGGAACTAGTTATTACCTTCCTAAAGCTAGTTAAACCACTTGTCCGAAATGAGCTGTGGACAGGTTGAATATTACAGTAGGTGTCTACCCCCGTACAAGTTTCCTACATTTGCCATTTTAAGGGGTTTTTGCTATATGTTATCATTATAAGGACTAAAGGACTAAAACAGTTAGTTTCAATCGCTGTAACTTAATACCATCATGTCAATATGTGACAAGCAACATGGTATCAAGCCTCTTGTATATCTGATCAGATATCATGTTTGTACTTTGGCCTCTATTTGTTGTCACTTTGGTTTTCTCTCTCTCTCTCTCTCTCTCTCTCTCTCTCTCTCTCTCTCTCTCTCTCTCTCTCTCTCTCTCTCTCCATCATTTTTGTGAAATTAGAAAGGGAATTATTCTGTATCATTACCAAAATTGAAAATGTAATAGTAAATTAATACAACCATATTAGACGTAATAAGCGCCCAGGGCACCCTCAAAATTAGAAATAGTGGGCCTTTATTAGACATGTTAGAATATAATTTGGGTGATAAGAAAACAGAGTTGAAAGATTGTAAATTTTGTGGTTTATGCTAACAGCCTGAAATGATACAAAAGAAAAGCCTGTGAATATTATACACGACAGATATTTTTTCCAGAACTTAATTGCCCATGGTCAAGGGTGCATATAACACATGAGTGCGTATAATACACGAATAAATAAGTCTTGTGTACATTGATCAATCGGAAGGGGTGCCAATTGGGATTGTTCACTAGCTATTCAATGTATTAGCAAATATTGCCATGGGCGCTTATTAGAGCGGGGCGCCTATAATGTCGAAAACGGTAATAACTTCAGGGGTAGAAACTAACATATTTAGTCCACTAGTCCTTATAATGATAACATATAGCAAAACCCTTAAAATGGCAAATTTCTACTAGTCCTTATGATACCTTAACTATTGGGCAGATTGGCAAGGACTACAGGACTAGTGCCAATTTCTAACGCTGAACTTACAATGCATTCATTGAATTCAATATTGTCTCCTGAGAAATGTATCAGATGGGGACAAATATTCTATATGGAGAAGAAACATGTTTTAAGCCCTTTGGTAATCTTGAAATTTGTATTACAGGGTTTCAGATCTGTTCATTGCGTCATTGACCTAATTGTCCTAAATATTATTTCAAATTTTGTTATAATATGGATGAATGACCTACAAAACTTTAATAAAAGTATGAAATGCCCTTATGCTATTTGTCCCAACAGAATCGCCAAATGTCAATCTCTCTACTATTCTAGGAGGGACAACTTGAAATCAACATTTGATCTTCAATAATATCAATATCTGCATGCCATTCATGATTGAGAAAGAAAAGCTGTCTAAATGAATATTTCAAACAATACTGCTGTTGTTTCAGTCAAAAGCATGTTTAGGTGATTTGAAACCTCTGAATGATCATTAAAATCAGAGCTTTAAGGATATATTATCCTATGAAAACTTGAGAATTGAAGTAAGTATGATCACCCAGGGACCTCAGCTGTATATTTCAGTGTTATTTTTAACCACCATTGATTATTTACAGTGTTTGAAATTTAAGTGATTCCTGGGTTTGCTTTTACCCTAAATGCATGCACCGTTTTTACTCACATATGTAAATTTAATTACACAAGTAATATACACTTATGAATAGTAATTTCGACCTATTTTGCACTATGTAAATTGGTCATATGTACTTTATTTGACCATCCAGTAGATAGCAATAGCCATTCATTTTCGTACTTCCAGTGGCACACATGCCGAATCTTCACTTGGCTTTAAATGCATTTCTGTTCATTCGGAAATTGTTATGCCAGTCACTTTTATGATCATGTCCACTTTTAAAATCATCCCACAACACTATTTCTAATTTTGAGAGCGCCCTGGGCGCTTATTACGTGAAATATGGTAGTTGTAATATTGCGGAGTGGGGAGTTAGACAACAAACAAACAAACAAACAAAGGTATGCCACATAACTTCCAACATTGCTTGTAAAATCACAATCTTTCCATCCTGAGATCTAGATTGAAACTAGAAGATTTACAAACACAGTTGCCTATGTATACCATATAACAATTCTACTTTTACTTACATAAATTTACTCATGAGCAAATTTACTCATCAGAGCAATTTTAGTGCATGCATGAATATTGATGTTTGCACTAACTTACAGTCCAGGGACTCCCCTCAGTCTCTAATATTCACAATTAGGGTTACGACAAGGACGCCTTGTTTTTCATGCTTAATTCAAACGCTAATTTACAAAATGTATTTATGTCTGCATTTGGTGCAAAAAAAACACTTTCTGTAATTCACCTGACAAACACATGTCAAAGGCCAAGCAGTTCGCTCATCAAAGGTTGACAAATTGATTCTTGGAGTTTGGGCAATAGACACATGTTGAGAAAATTCATACATGATCCAGTGTGCAACATTTACGGTAGACTGACAGCAGGATTCTATAGCAGTCTGTGCAAAACACTAGTATCGCAGGAATATTTATCTAGGATTCCAAACGTAAGTTCCCTGGGCAGGAAAATTGGAAAATTTACCGAACATCCAAAATGTCCAAGGTATTTTTTGCAGCGGTAGAAACTAACATTTTTAGTCCACTAGTCCTTATAATGATAACATATAGCAAAACCCTTAAAAATGGCAAATTTCTACTAGTCCTCATGATGCCTTACTATTGGGCAGTTTGGCAAGGACTTAACGACTAGTGCCAATTTCTAACTCTGTATTGTAGCCTATAGTGAACTTAAAATCAAGGCCTCTTCCACTATATTGGTCCTGTTTTCAGTAAATACATGTCACCTCTACAAGTACAACATGTACAAAGCCATAACATTAGTTATAATTATGACAACATGGTTTGGGAAAAAAATTCAGCAGTACAAACTAACATTAGTCCACTCGTCCTTATGATGATAACATATAGCAAAAACCTTACAAGTGGTAAATTTCTACTAGTCCTTGTGATACCTCCTTAACTGTTGGGCAGTTTGGCAATGACTACCATGACTACAGGACCAGTGCAAATTTCTAACGCTGGAACTCCAATTTGGTAGTTATTATATATAGCCTATATCATCCTCTAAGCAGCAGGTGTAGATAATAGATCCCTGTATCAGCTGGATTTACTAGACACATACAAATTTAACTGTAGTTTCCCAGACTGCTACAATAAATGGGAGTTTCAACTGACAGATTATTATAGATTGAAGTGTGTAAGACCAATTTCATTGCCAGTTTTCCTTGTTATAAATTTTTTTTTGTAGCCAGCAGGGCTTGCTCCTTTTAAATTAAAAAGTAACTGGCCCTTCTCTAAACTAGCTGGTGGAGGCCGCGAATTGGCCGAGGTGGGCTTTGAAAATTTTAGAACTCCTCAAGCAGTATTGACTAGCGTGGGGTGGCATTGTACCTCAAACGTCTGTACTACTCCCCACCCCTCAACATTTTTGCCTGCACTCTGAGATTGAATCTTGGCTTCATTTGACTAATTTCATGGCAATTTATGAGCAAATAAAGAAGTTGCACACAACATTAAGAAATGGCGGTCGGTTGTCTTTCTACTGAGATGATTCAATTGAAAGAATTAAACGTACATTCAGAAGGGGTGAAATTTTGACTGTTCAGATGGGCTAAATACTTCACATTTCAGCAAGCCCTTTGTAAATTTAACTGGCCATGGGCCAACAGGCCAGCAGTTAAACTGTTATAACTTCCATAATGTCACAAATAATAACAGTTTATGCATTTTGTCTGAACGTGTTTCGACATTACCAAAGCCAGTCAGTTCAGTTATCATTTGAGTGGATCTGTCACGCCTGAAATGGCCAAATAAAGTACTAAAATGTCACACACTGATCAATTATCTCTGTTTGTTTATGAAGATGGTTGACAATGATCTGTTCCACTGTATAAGTAAGAGTACATGTATGATCAGATGTACAGATGTGCAGGCTAAAACTCACTTTTATTTACTTTTCAGTAGGTTTTGGTCTATGGATTGATTAGTACATATTTACTAATTCAGACAGAAAAAAATTACATTACACTAAGACTTTTGACGAGGGCTAAAGTCACAAACTCAGTCTCACTGCATGTATGATTTAACATTGTGATTACATGATGTGAAATATGTTTTCTTGATCATTCCAGGTAAGAATCCTGTATGTAAGAAATCTGATGCTGAACACTTCTGAAGAATCCATAAAGGAGTCCTTTGAGAAGGTGCTGGGAAAGGAAAACATCATTGAGAGAGTAAAGAAGCTCAGGGATTATGCATTTGTGCACTTCAAGATGAGGGAAGATGCCTTACAGGCAATGAATATTCTCAATGGTTTGTGAAATGTTTATGGTATCATGCAACTACTTTCCTGAAACATTGGTTATGTTCTCAATCTGTGGCAAACATATTTGAGTTGACTACCCCAAATGTGTCACTGGATGTCATGTCCAGTAGACTTTAGTGTTGAAATATGAACTTTTATTAGCTGTGCTAGGACCCAGGCTTCATGCTAGTGGCAGAATGTTCTCCTCTCTCATCAATTCATTAATTAGAAATGATTCACCAAATATAGAACAAGATTCCATATTTTGAAATGCAGAGCTGTAATCCAGATTGGTACATTTTCTAATGCCTATAGATGTTATACGAAAGTTTAGGTACCAACACAATCAAGACAGTTCTTGCCTTGACCATGGCAATTGCGACCTACATTAACCCCATTAATCAAGGAACACCACCTTCTACAGCTAGAGACATTGCCACTGGTCCATTTGTCTGATGCTAAACCATTGTAAACTTGGGTTATTTTACATGGCCACTAGGCTGAAATGATCTGCAGACTGATATGATTGGATATAACCGATTGCATCTACCCCAGTTCCAGATGGTTACTGAAGCAGATACTTTTTGAGTTGCAGTTATAGAAATTAATAAATCTAGGCCATTGCTGTGGGAATATTACCATCAGCATACAGGAGCTTTCAATGTGTGTAGTTTTGTGATAACTGTTGATGTTTTATGTATTGCAGGGAGCACTTTGGAAGGATCTAAGATTGAGGTGGTACTAGCCAAACCTGTAGACAAAAATGATTACTCAAGGATGATCAGATCTGGCAAACCTGGATATCAACAGGTAATACACTCAAGACACTGATACAATAAGGCTATGTGTATGGGTAGACTTAGCATAGCAACCTGTCATGAGAATGGCTCATTAATGAAAGGTACCACTTACCTGGCAGATTTCATAATCTTCACTTTAATGCCAAAGATGTTCTGCCTTTTGTTGTTTATGCATTAGTATTGTAAAAATGGTCAAAGAAACATACCGTATTCGACGTAATAAGCGCCAACGGTGATATTTGCTAATATATTGGCCAGTGAACAACCTCAATTAGCACCCCTTCCGATAGATCAGTGTACACAACACTTATTTATTCGCGTATAATACGAACTCGTTTGTTATATGCACCCTTTATTATGGGCAATTAAATTCGAAAATATGTATCTCTTGTATATTAACATTTCAGGCTGTCAGTATAAACCACGAAAATTCGACTCTGTTTTTTTCACCAAAATAATATTCTAATAAGAGCCCCTATTTCTAATTTTGAGAGCGCCCTGGGCGCTTATTACGTCGAATACGGTACCTCATTTTTAACTTCTGAGAGTTTGGGTTAGTAACGTGAGAGTTATTAATATTAGGAGCTGCAGTTAAAATTATGTTTTATTTCCACTAGTCGGGGAAAAATTATTTGCTACAGAGTTACCATTTACCTTTGATAAAGTGGAAGACTACAAGCCTTGAAGGAAATGTCACTGGTCTTTCCAGAATTTTACTCGTCGGCAGTAGAAACTAACATTTTTGGCCCAGTAGTCCTTATAATGATAATATATAGCAAAAGCCTTTAAAATGGCAAATATCTACTAGTCCTCATGATACCATAACTATTTGGCAGTTTGGCAAGGACTCAGGACTAGTGCCAATTTCTAAACCTGCTCGTGTTGAACCCAATATCATGGCACATAAATAGATTTCATTATGTTGTTAGTCAGTCTCAGAAAGGTTCAACAAGTCAATGGTCAAAATGTAAACTGTAAATTGAAAGTACATGATCAGTTTGTAACAGCCTCCATCAGTGAAAAGATCAACAATCAGTGTAGTTGTAAAAGTGTCATGAGTAATGTTGGATAGTGTACCAGCTAGAATAAGATCCACTATCCAAAGGAGCCAACATGAGTGCCAGGGCCAGATACACTAGTGATCGATGGTATGAGCATTGATTCATGAAGCTTGATTTTAGGTTCACAAAAACAGCAAGGTGTAACAAGTACTAACAACCCAACTGCCTGCTTTAGTTGATCCTCAATGGGTGGATGTACATCTCAAAAGTTAAGGAATTGAACAGTAACCTTTACACAGATGGTGCCAAAACCTTTGCGTCTACTATCCCAAACATGGCTCCTAGCATTAGTAGAATTTTATTTTATAGTTGTAAAAAAAGCTATTATTAGGTGAGCATACTAGACCAAACAGAATTTTACTAGACATGGGCTTCAGACTTCAGGCACAGACTGTTTACACATGTGAAACTACATTGGGCAGCTTTTGAACCCAGAAAGCCTTGTTGGCCAAGTTATACAACACAAAAACATCAAATTTTCAAAGATTAAAGATAGTTAATGTCATTGACATGATGTCCATTGTTTTCTGACCATTTGTAAGAAGTTAGAAGTTTTGCATAAAAAAAAATATTGTGTTATTGATCCAATGTGGTCTGGAGAATATTTTCTATCATTATGCCCTTTCAGGACAGTGAAGTGACAGAGAGTTCAACTTCACAGGTAGTCTTATTATTGGTTACAAACTTTAGCTTGTGGCATTGTGTTCTATTCAGCATGCACTTTAGTTTGTTTTGTAATTGCATGCTTGTATTTCATTGGTAAAATAAATTGATACCAATCTCCCTACTGAGGAAGAATGAGTGAGTTAAGGTTGTTTTATTCCAATGTCAGCATTCAGCAATGTTCCAGCTACATGATGACGGACTGAGGAATGGGAAAACCTTTATTTTCATTTTGTTCTGTCAGTTCCATTTGGAAAATGTAAATGTTCTTATACACTTGTTTATAAAACTCAATAGATGTGGTGTTTTAATTTAAGAAACAAACATCCACAGTATAATTAAGTTCAGTTTTTCTCAATGTGCATTCTATTGCCACCAACACCTTTTCAGTTTTCAGTGCTTTTCAGAGCTAATACCTATAATGGTTTTGTTTCTTTGGTATATATGTTACCTTATTATCTCACCTTACATTCAAAAACTTGTTTCTGATTGGTTAAGGAGCAGGCAGTTATTTTCCATGTATCGTAACGCACCTTAGGTAACTTGCTGCTTATTTCACATAAGTATTGTTGAGCTGAAATGAACCAATGTTTATCTGAATGGATTGGGTAAAGAGAAGTAACTCAGTTCATTTGCATCATCAGCTAGGTGTCAAAATGGCTAAATCAAAGTGTTTGATTCCATGAAACTTTGGATAAATATTCCAGGTCTGTATAAATAAATGTCAGTGAGATAAATTTGTTGTCAACCGATCCCTCGGGGCATTTTGTGTGATGTACCCTGTGTGTGAGCCTATGTACGACTCATGGTACATAAGCTCACACACAGGGTACATCACAGCATATGCCCCTTGAGATCAGTTGACATTGTAACTGGAGTAAGTGCTGTATAATTTCTTGTCTTGTGATATTGTTCCAGGCGTATGGTTATTCAACATACGAGTCACCTTTGGTTGCTCCAGCCTTCTATGGCCAGTTTGTACAACAAGCAGGAGCAGGAAGGTAAGTATCCAACTTTTAAGAAAACTGTTGTCAAAAGAACCCTGTGTGGATTCTGGGTTAGAATTGGTCCACACCAACCTATACTTGTTGTAAGAGTTGACTTAATGGATCGGGTGATCATTCTGATGAGATACGCTGGTTGATTACATGTCATATATCCTGACTCCATGGATTGTTGCTCATGATATCAATCACTGGATTGTTTAACCCGTGAAGATCCGGGGTATAATAGGTCTTCAGCAACCCATGCTTGCCGTACAAGGCGACTATGCTTGTCATAAGAGGTGACTAACGGGATCAGGTGGTCCGGTTCGCTGACTTGGTTGATGCATGTCATCATATCCCAATTGCGTGGATCAAAGCTAATGATGTCAATCACTGGATTGTCTGGTCCAGTCTCGATTATATACAGAATGCTGTCATTATAGCTGGAAAATTGCTGAGTGCGGCGTTAAACAACAAGCAAACAAACACTGGATTGTTTTACTGTGTTAACATGTTTAAGTATGTCTTCAAAATGTTCTTTGAAATGTTGTTTCTTAATACAATAATAGATATTTTGATTTTAAGCATAAAACAAAACTTTTTTGTGATTTGGGGAGAACATTTACAAATCAAGTGTGAAAAATATTTCTGCTTAGATTATAGTAAAATTAGAATCAAGTGTTTTGACAATTGATATATTTTGAAAATACAGTAAACAATGTTTATACGGAAATGACGAACTATTTTGGGGTCCCATCCATTTGCTGTATATAGGCTGTATATGTGCCTATAGTGAACTACAGTTATAACGAAGTAAAATTAGTGGTCCCTATTAGTTAGTTATAACCGTAGTTTACTGACATATCTCCTGTTTTGACAGAGGTATGCAGAGAGCAGCTGTTGGTGTGAGGGGACAGGTTCGGGGGCGTGGTCGTGGTGCAGCAGGATCCCGGGGGGCAGGTGGATCCAGGGCCTATGTGCAAGGATATGTGCGTGGAGGAATGAGAAGGCACCCAGCAGAGGTATGACACACCTTCATCACTCTCCCAGTGTTTGCATGGTCGTTGTAATTGTGTTGGCATGTTACAGGTTTAAGTCATTTTTGTTGCGGATCTATCAAACAGACAATTGCAACTTTTATGTTTTAAGGGACAGTTTCTTGTAGTTTGGAACCAGGCAGTGTACTACTTTGTACATTAATTACCTCTTACATAGCAAAATTTATAAGACTTTGTCCTTTTCTTCTACTTTTCCAAGCTATGTTTGAAAAGGTCCCTTTTGATGATAGTAATTTGAACAAACAGACCCCCAATTCCTATATTTTAAACATTAGTATGAGAGGGCCCCATGTCTTTCATCCTTACTTTCTGACACTGGTTTCATCATTACTATTTTTACACCAGTTTTAATTACTAATTATTTTATATTCTGTTTATTCAGAGGCTGTGATTAGACTTTATATGAATGTGCTGTAGCTAGGGCTGTAGCAGTTCAAGTGTCAAGTTTAGATGTCAAGTGGGACAAATCATGATCTTGCATTCAAGATAATATTGTGTCATGACAAAGTGTTTCGTTACAGCCCAAGCTGGTTTTCAAATATGCATGAGAATGCATGCATGCATGTTCCCATTGCTCATTGCATGTTAATGTTGATAGCTACCAAGCCTAAATTTCTAAAGGATAGCTTACAATAGTGTATTCTAAAGTTTTTTTTGCATCATGATCTAATCAAGTATCAGCTGACTGAAGTTGAATGAAATCTGCTCTTCATTCACTTCAGGAAAATATACGGCCTGCTACAAAACATTCAGCCATTTCTTAAATATTTGTTTCTTACTCAGTTGCATTCATAATCTGTCAATCGTGATTGAATGACCAAATTATCAAGGTACTCGCTCATACAAAGTACACACAGATGTCCGAGTCTCAGGGACAACATTTGTGGTCAGTGCCATTGTTAAAACCTGTTTTTGCTGTAGGGTCGCCTTTTTGACATCTTGCCTGGCATGGAATTGACTCCCACTAACCCTGTTACACTCAAACCACAATCAGTGAAAACTACAGTTCAGGTATAGTGTTTTCTGATGCTAATGGTTTGAGCCTAGCCTGCAAGCTTTAACTGAAACTCCTGTCTCTGGCCTGCCTATGGATATAACGCTGCTTGCTTCTACAGTTCGGAAAGAATTTGATGGCACACTGTTAGGGAAGGGACTTCTCTCCTTACTCTGTTGTATGAAGTGTGGCATCACATTTTTGCCCTAACTGTATTCAGTTCTATCCTTTGCTTTGTAGTGCTTGTGTGAGGTGTATGGCAGAGTTTGACACTGAACACAATTTGTCGGTGGTCCAAAGGACCAGTGCATAGAAAATCTACTGGTCCTATTGGATCTCTATTTGACACAATGGTCCTGACCAAAAGATGGTTTTAAAGGGTATTACTTCATTGCGCAATTAGAATGAAAAAACTGCCAAAAAGGTAACCTATGTACCATGCAGGGTTGTTTAGGTTGCTGGTTTTGCTTAGAGTTTAGAGTCAATCTGTCACTGATTTCAAAAGCCGTACAACTGAAATAACTTTGTCCTGAAAATAACACTAGACGAGACAAGCATTTATTTAATTTTACTGGTACTTGAGAAAATATGCTGGACTCGAACCAGCAGACCAATGTGAGTGTCGAACACTGTATAGGATTGCGATGAAAATAGATTCAGTAGGATTAGAGTTTTACTACCATCTAACATGTGTGGTGTGGTTTTCAAAATGTGCTAACCATTTTACCTTCAATAATTTCAGTACATCTTCTAATGATTACTTAGAAGTAGTATTTGTCTAGATATGGCTTCAAATGTTGATTCAGAATCTGTTCCACTCAGCAATTTGGAATGTCAACATTTCAGAGAAAGTATCATTAAGTAATACTGCAATATCTATACATCTTGGTGTAACCTGGATAAAGAAAAGAAATACATGCAGTTTGAAGTAGAATTTGTTACATTCGGTGTTGGTGTGCATTAGTATTAACAAAGTTTGTTGTCACCTTGGACAAATGCAGAATCCTTGGAGCAACAGTCAGTGCTTCAAAATTGCAACAAAATTCTTCCTTTTCAAAAAGTGCTTAAAAACTCTTATAATAGACAGATTTTGGTCAAAATGTCAAGTAGACCTAAAAATTGTTAGAATTAAGATACTGTTGTAACTGTTGTCAATAATTGTGGGAGGGGGGTGGGTGGAGTTTATATTTAGAAAACAAATTATGTTAAGATCAGAAGTAGGCAGTCTCAATATAACAAACACTGGAATAAATGTGGGGAAGTTGATGGGAGTCTTATATCCTGTTTGGCAAGATGTTGAAAGCAGTTATGTATGATGTTATCTGACTATTTTGGTATGAAATGATTTCTAAGATGAAACATTGAGTTTTTTAGAAAGATAATACCGTATTTGTTATTTTCTAATGTATATATATTAATGATATTTATAATAAGCATCTTCTCTGGTCTTTTGTCTCAAATCCTGTTGCTTCAATTTCCATTTTCTTGGCACAGTAATACAGAAAGTAGACTTGGTCTTTTCTTGTAGGTGTTGGTACAACATTCATGTCGTCTTGGTAATGTTTTTGTAATAAGTATACATAACAGGTTATTTTCACATGTTAAGCATTAAGTATTTAGCCACACAACTTTCACAATAAGTAACCAGGAGATGTATGGAAGCCAACAACTGTCCAACAAGTTTTCTTTCTAATAATTTAACCTTATATTATTCAGTTTGCAGTATTCTGTGTTTTAAAGATATCACCATCATGATAAGTAATAAAAAACATGTTATGGCTAAAATACAAGGATGTTTCTTCTGTCAACATATTTATTCACCATTCAGTCCCTTCATCATATGGCATATTCACCTTTTGGGATAAGAAGCTTTGTTATTTTTTTAACACTGAACATCATACTGCAATACTGAAATTGTAAGAAACATCTTTTTGTGCTTGAGACAGTATTTAAATCATCGTCCTAAATGGTGCTTAAGGATCTAGTTACAGGTACATCTGTGTTATTCAAAGTTGTTAGCAACATCATTCACAGAGCTGATATAGTCGTATTGTAATTGTCATTGTAGGTACAACCATTTGAAATGTTTCAGGTTCTGGAAGAACTATGTCAGAAGAATGGCTGGGGAAGCCCTATCTATCAGCTTCACTCCACTGGAGGTGGTGGCGGTGACATGCAACTCTTCCTATTCAAGGTATTTACCAATAACTGACTTTATCAAGGGTAGACATAGCAGTGTTTGAAATTAGGGAAAAGGGTGGTGGTTCCTCAGGTCCTTGAAGTATTCTTCTCCAGTATTTGAATCTAGGGACCCCGAAACCTTTGACAAGGTTATGACAAGGAACACTTGACTCTCATGTTTAATTTCGAACACTGCATAGCCAGTATTATTTATTTATTATTTGCTTATTTGTTTGTTTCTTCAATGTTGTTTAACGCCACACTCAGCAATATTCCAGCTATAGGACAGTAGTCTGTAAATAGTCAAGTCTGTACCAGACAGTCCAGTGATAGACATCATGAGCATCGATTCACACAATAGGGATATGATGGCATGCATCAAGCAATTAGTGGAAGTGAGCTCAACTTCAGCAATGTTTCAGCCATATTGTGTCTCAGAAGTAGTTTGGTTGATAGAATTCTTGAGGAATCAACACCTTTCTTAAAATCTCCTTATATACCCTGGTAATGTATTAATTGAAACATAATATTTTATTCAACAGGTAACCATCCCCGCTCTAGCATCACAGAACCCTGCTCCCTTCCAGCCCAACAAACTGTGCAGAACAGTTGAAGAGGCCAAGTCATTTGCTGCAGAATTTGTGCTTCTACAACTGGGAGTCAGTGTGGAGAGTAAGTGGGACCACAGCAAAACACAACTGTAGTGATAGTTCATATGTATTCATAGCATTTGCTTGCCTTGTCTGCATGAAGTTCATCTTTACATCAGTACTGCCATGTTAACCATTATGAAAGGAATATGTCCAGAAGAGATGAATTGTTGTGTTGAAACTATTAACCAAATGCATCTTTTGAAACAAAGAAAGTTTTAGATACCACATGCCCCTGATGTATATCCTGACTCATAACCCATTGTTCAACACTCAATCCATGGTACTGAGACAGGCATGGGACACACTGTGTATGCTTATCAGCTATGCTTTACCCTGTAGCAGTTCAGCAGTGATAAATGTGTTCTCCACACACGAGTAATGCAGGCTTTGTAACGGTTTCTCCTCAGGTTGCATGAATTATTTGTATTAGCCACCACATCATTCTTTAAACGTAATGTTTTATCTTTGTGGTGAATTAATAAACAAATAATCTTCAGTGAATTCTGAATTATAGAAAAGTGTCAAGCTTCATATTCAGAACTGCTTTTTTTTAATTCTATTGTTGGGGATATTGTTATCTTTTTGGATGGGTTTTTTAAGTTTAAAAATTCTGATGACTGAGACCAAAGTAATAAAAATATTTTGCTTAGTTTCTGCGAACTTTTAGACCTAGATGTTTCATGTTCATCTTTCATCTCATAATCAAGTTTACTCCTTGTGGTTGTGGTTGCATTCATCATTATATATACACTATACACGGGTATGAAGTAGTAAGGCCTGAAAACATTGTAAGACGTTCTTCTATTTATCTATGTCATGTTATATACATGCACTAAATGCATATAACATCTCAATAATTGTCTTGATGCAATGTTCTTACATGTATTCATATATCTAATAACATTTTAATAAAGATGATGTTTTGTATAATCTGAAGATTTGCCAATAAGGGTTATTTTTGTATTCAAAAGTCTGAAGTGCTTGATTTTGACATGTTTCATTACCTTCATATTCATTTACCACCATCATATCTCTTTAGTTGTGCTTATGTTTACTAGCTGTAGTGCAAACTTTAAATTTTATGTAATCTTCCTCTTGATTTTGCTGAGCTGAAGTATGCTAGAGCTTTGTCTATCTGTCTGTCTAGGTGCTGAACTAACTACTGCTCCTGCAAGTCCCTATCAAGGCAGACCTATTTACCCAAACAGTGCCCGTGATATGCAATCTTATGCATCTGCAATGCCTATAGCTACAAGTGCCTCTTATGTTGTAGCACCAGGAAAGGTCATTCAAAGTAAGCCATGTCACTACCTCCTTTGCCTTTGGTCAAAGAAGATAACAGATTTCATTTAGTCCCACGTCCCTGCATGTCTCATTTGTTTTGTAGCTTTGGGTTTTGTTTATGCTTGATGTAACTTAGCTTTGAACTGGTTTCTTTTATGTAAACCCATGCAGATTCAGGTTAGAAGAGGTCTTCAGCAACCCATGATTGCCTTAAAAGGCATCAATGCCTGTCATAAGAGGCAACTAACGGGATCAGATGGTCAGGCTCGCTGAGTAGGTTGATACATGTCATCATATCCCAATTGCGTGGATCGATGCTCATGATTTCAACCACTGGATTGTTTGGCCCAGACTCAATTATTTACAGACCACTGTCATATAGCTGGACTATTGCTGAGTGTGGCGTTAAACAAAAAACAAACATATTTCATGTAAATGATTTTCAATATTGATCCCCGCCGTGATATTGCTGGAATATTGCTAAAAGCGGCGTAAAACCATACTCACTCACTCAATTCAATATTGATAGGCTTAATGTTAACAGTTACTCTGAAAGGATAGAATAATTGTTATACATGTGAACATGTATGTATTTCAAGCAGAACAGTTGTTCTCCATCACACCCTTACTAGTCTACCATGGAAAACTACTATTACTGCAGAGTGATATACTTTAAGGCTCTTTGACAGCCTATACATCTGATGATCACAATGTTTGTAATTAAGAGGTGTCCTGGGGTATCTAAGGGTTTTTTTCTGTGATATTTAAATCTAGTGTCCTTCTTGATCTGTAACGTTTAACATTAGGCTTATGACAGATCCCCTGTAGTGTTTGAAATAAAGCATGAAAGTCCAGGGGTCTAAACAGGGTCATCCTTTCCTGTGTTACAATGTCACATGAACAATAATAAAAAAGTATAGGGTTCTGGTCATAACTATAATGTTACCAACCCAGATTTAAGGGGTCCTTAGAATCAAATACAATAGGAGGAAACCTAAAGGACCCCAGGACCCTTTTTAATTTCAAACGCTGCCTCGACTTTCATGCTCAATTTTGAACACTGCATCATCATGTCACAACATATGACGCTGCTATTGTCTATTTCAGACCCTGACTACCCAGGGACGTACGAGTACCCCGCAGGCTATGCTGCCCCACCCCCATCTACTGCTGCAGTCTATGGTCATCAGTACTGAGGAATCAGGACAAGAGCTGCATGCAACCCTAGTTGTTAAACATTCCACTATTCAACTAGAGTAGCCTCATATTCCATAGTTGGAAACAGTTAGACTTATTTATTTGGAATATTCTGGCTCTACTCTTTGCTTTATCTATTTAATCTGTCTTTTTGAGTGTTAATGTTCTCTGCTTGAGTGGGTCTGTCTCGGTATACACAGAACATGTACTATTCTAGGTTTGAAGCACTAGTCTTGTGTTCTTTGGTACTGGACTAACCAGGAAGTGTATTTATCATGTTCATTTCATCGTACATCATTAAGTCATTTGAAGGTATAGTTCTGTAGCAAGCCCTACACAAGTTGTTAGATCATGACTTTATTGGTTTCAGAATATAGGCACATCATCGTCAGGTGTCAGAGTAATTTTTCTCACATTGATTTTAACTAACAAGTGATTTGCATGAGCCATAATAAATAGTTTTTAGAGGCATGTCTGAATATTCTAAACATATACTCCAAATATGTCAAAAAAGGACAATTCTTAACAATAAAAAGATCAAAAGATTTTCAAATCTATTTGGTCTCCAAGATGATTTCTACTGAAATTTTGGAACTGCCCAATAACATGCTTGTTTCTCAAATAGTAATATTAAAGCATTTTGTAACAAACACATTCTGAAATCGAATAAGAAAAATAATTCCTGAGAAAAAAAATGAAATATCGAGTGTGTTTCACATTCAGAGAAACTTCCGCAAATAGTATTACTGGCATATTGTGTAAGGGTTGCTACAAGCTCATACGAGATACATCAGGGATCGATCTGCAAAGATCTCAACATCTTGATAGATGTAGTCTTTCAAGATGACATCGGAAACATTCTAGGTTGAATGTTGCAGGTTATCTGACAAGGAAGCCGTGTTTGCAAGTATTTGTTGTTCTGTTAAATATCTTCAAACTGTTTGTTTACAAGTTATGGTCATGTTTTTTACAACGTACACTCAAAGTGTTCATAAAACAGATGTAATGTATCAATAACTTCAATCTCACAATATATGCCCTGGGATGGGTGGTGATTTTGAAGCCAAGCTTCACAGATAATCCTTCAAATTTGGAATTCCACTTAGTGCTAAATATATGTATGAAGCCAAGTTGGCTTCACTATGCATTCCCTGTTGTTAAATATGCATGTATTGTAGACAACAATTTGACCGATTGTAACAGAACTGAAGGTGTTGTTAAACATATCAACTCAACTGTTGGGCCATGGAGATGGGTGTTTATTACTGTTCATACACTGAATTACAGCTCTCTTACAATCTCTCATATTTTGTCTAACACCCATGACGAGAAGTTCTCAAACTCTTTTGTTTGAATTTTAGGCAGTATTTTTCAAGTTTTATTTATATATGGCAAAAAAGGCTTTGTTTTTATGGATAAATGAATACAATATTAAAGCTAAATGACCAACCACAATTGACTAGATTGGTGGTGATTTTCATGATTTTCTAGAGGTTTAGAGAAAAGTTTTTAGTTTAGTTCTTTTGAACATGTGTATCTGTTATTTGTTTCTCTACCATTTATTTGCAAACTATTTGCAAACTTGTTTTGACACCAAGTGTTATGTGTATTACAGTACAGGACGAACACTTCAGCCATTCCTGTTGAAGTAAAAATACCTTTTTGAAAGTGTTTTACTACTACATGGTGCTGTAACAGTTTGAAGTCTATTTCCAGTCCCCCAGAAGAGAAACTACTTGGATTGCACTACCAGATTCATATTCCAATCTAGCTTAATTTGTGAATGTTTTGTTATAACATCACCGATATTGCTCTGGAAACCTCTGTAGTAAGCCTTAAACAAACATGATTATTCTGAACCCTATATAACATCAAACAAAACAAATGATTGGCATCCTTGATTGTCCACTGTATAGTTAATCTATTCTGTTTGATACCCTAGGCCCTTTCAACACCATAGATCTTTGCTGAACTGTGCTGAGAAATTCTGTGTTAAGTTAGTATGACCGATGGAGATTGTGATGTCACTATTTGAACAAAGCTATGGTGCTACTACACCTGGATTACCATAAGCTATATCATGATAGAATGGATATGTAGTACCCTGTATAATGAAGGATGAACTATTGGTAACTCACAGCCCCATGCTGCACTTTAAGTGGTACAGTCCTGAGACTTGGTTGGGGATCTTAAGTTGTATTGTTCATGTTCTGGCAGTAGTTAAAGACTTTAGAAGTTTTCAGGAATTTGAGGTGAAGGCTATGTTTCTGTCTCTGAAATACTTGCACCACCTCGTTCCAAGTCTAAACAGTTAAACCAGAAGCTAAAAATATTTTATTTATTGACTGAAGACTGAAAGTAAGACCTGCATGTTAATTTTCCAGATCCAAAATCAGTGATGTTACTGAACATTTACTACTTGAGGTGATAATGTTTGTTGCTAGTGTTTACCAATTACCTAAATCACCTGGCTACAATACCATGCCAGTAATCAGTGTGTCCATCCAAAGTGAGTTTCTCTCTCCACACCCTGTGTCTGCTCAGAGTTCTGCCATGTGCCATAACAGCATTTAACAGGGATTCGTGGATGTTTAGTGCTAAAGTGTTAACCAATTTTGGGGTCTTCAAATTTCGAATTTGGTGTTTCAAGACAATCAAAGGAAAGGCTGATGACCATGTGGGGCCATAACTGAATTTTATTTATTTATTACAGCCTATACATTCCATTCTAATGTTTGTAAAAAGTTCAAAATGGTTAATCATGGTAAAGGCCAATCCTACCATCTTTCAAATTAAAATATTACCGGTAATAGCATTTTCCAGTTTAGCTCTTCATCAACAAATAGGGTTTAAACCGTACATTGAAATCCAAATTACAACAGTGCTGTATGAATTATTGACTGATATTAAAAAAGAAGTATTTAAATGCCAAATTTTCAGAAGTGATTAATAACCCATCGAAACTTTAAAGGTCAAGGTCAATAGTTCATGATAAAGGTCACATATTTTGAAATCTTATAAACAATTGTTTTCTCTTTTCGTCATGTTTTGACGGATGTGAAACCAAGTTGGAAGTAGATTCATATGCATATATACTAAAGCTCATCTTAAATTATAGGCACAAGAAATGATTTGCTAGTTGTCACTCACTGTATTAGAGCAGATTATAGGTGAGGTACAAAGTTATCTCAAACATAATTGCCAGCATTAGGTAACATCTAAATATTCACATGAGATATGGAACAAACAGGGAATAGCTTACATCCAGTAGTTCTACAAAACAAAGTCTAGTCAGTTGATGTCAGAAATGAGTCGTACAAAGACTATCATTCTCTTTGTGTTAGCTAATAGGAAGCACCCACTTAGCATGCTTAAGATATTGATGGCAAACTAAAATAGATAATTTACAGTTTATTTTCGTTGTGATTCCAATTATTTTACTTTTACTTACCTGTACCATATATTTTGAATACATGGTATTATGTTTTCGAGACAAATAATACAGGTTCCTGATCAGAACTGATTTCAACATTATCCCAAATATGAGGACATTTCTTATTTACATACATGATTATGTGAAAGTGCTTGGGCATAAGGAATTTTTTTCGATTACTTCCATGTTTCGATGGGGCAGTGGGGAAGCCTTGTGGTTAAAGCATTCACTCGTTACGACGAAGGTCCAGGTTCTATTCCCAACATGGGTACAATGTGTGGAGCCAATTTCTGGTGTCCCAAGCCATGATATTGCTGGAATAGTGCTTAAAGCGGCATAAAACCATACTCACTCAAATGTTTCGGTGGACATTGTTATTTTTCAAGAGTACTTTTTAAGCTAAATACTTTCTTCCACATGAATCTGAAATTACAGAATTTGTCACTCAAATTTACCCAAATGATGTAAATTTGCCATCATGTTCTTTCAAAGTTTCAAATTGAGTTGAAATCTGATCTTAAGAATGTATGTTTTAAGTGTGTTTCTATATTAGAGTTCAAAGAGAAAACCTTTGTTAATTTGAAGCTGCCTTTCGTTGGTACAGGCAAGGATCTCTCTGGTAGAGTTGTTTGCTCAAGTTCAATCTTGCCAAATATTTTATTATGTTTAGTTATATTTGTGAAGGGCACTGCAAACTTGGCACAGAATTAGGCAACATCAGAATGTCATAGAATCATTTTGTCAGAATCACACATTTAACCATATTGATATCTTAATTGGTGACGGTTTTTTGAGTTTCATAATTATATGCTTAATTGCTTCTAGATTTTTAGCTTCTGTTAGTTAGAATTATACTGATTCAGTATTTTATTGATATTTGCTTATTGTAAAAACATACTACTTTCTTTGGAATGATAACATGTGACTAATCATTGCTTTTGTTACACCTATGCACAGCGTTTTGAAGTAACTTTGAGAAAAATGTTAATATTTAAAAAACCGGGTCAGTCAAAGTAGACACAATTTATGGATAACAACTTCTGTTATTACTGTAAAGGCGACGGTTTGGTGAGGATCTATACCAAAACATCGCCTTTACAGTAATAAGAGAAGTTATTATCCATAAATTGTGTCCACTTTGTCATCTGTCAGCTTCTAAGTAATGCTTTTAAAACGGGTCAGTGTTTTCAGTTCCAATTTTGCAAAATATTCAGTGAGATCAAGACAAATTTCACATGTCATGGAAACTTGTGTGCAACATATTATCTTTCCTTAGAAAGTAGCCTGTTCTTTGTTCCTGGTGCTGTTGAAGGAATTTCAAAGAACATGTATTCAAGTGTTCAGCTAGTCTTGCATTGTGTCCTAATACTGTATTTATGCATATTACATAACTCTTATTTCTTCCTTTTACTGCAACTTTGGGTCTCAAGTTTCCTTATTACCAAAAGAGAATTTCTGTCCAAAGAAACTCAGGTTTTTGTACCTTTATATTTATATGTCTGAGGTTGGCATATTCTGTGATATTTTACAACATATCTCAGTGTCTGAGGTGTACATGTTTTCAGATTTGTCACTTGATTGCAATTCAAATTCCGATGTTAAACCGTGACCCATTGCAGTAAAAAATGTATCATTTGCTTTAATCTTGACTGATTGGTAATCACATAATGGAATAATCTCAATATTGATATCAGCAATGGCACCATGCATGAGATTAGTAGCATATCTATCTGTCCAGATATATTTTCAGGAATTACGACAGAATTACCGTGTTCAGATATGTGGTGTCTTTGTGTCGCTATGGTAAAACTGTGACAGAAAAAAAACAAAAGTATATCATCACAAAAAAGCCACACCATACCTAAATCAGGTATAGACAGCTGTACACATAACCCCAGTTGCCAAGTTGGCAAAAGAGGTCTACAAGGAAATGTCACTAGTTCTTCCTGAAATATACTAGTCCCAGACTAACAGATTTACATTAATTTTGAATCTTGCTTTACTAATACTGAAACATTTCAATGGCTAAATGATTTAGCTACTTAAAGATATGCTAATAGATATATTTTCATGTACAATTAAAAAAAGGTCAATGACATTGTACAAATGGCACCTTCACAAACATAAACAGAAATCTTTGCTCAAACACAGAATAATTTTACCATTGAGACTCAAACACTCCATATACAGCAAGTTTAGTAGAACAAAAAAAAGTTTGAAGACAATAGAGTTTACAGACAAATGAGAAGCAAGGAACTTAAACATTTTGAAATATGATGTGAAGAAAGAGACACAGTTGTGGCCTAAAGCCTCATGGCATTTTTTTCTTCTATATTTTCAATTTTAAGCAGTAAAAACTGATTCCACAATATTTCCTGTAAAATTATCTGTCCCATTGCTGATCTGAATTTTGAGATACGAAAATGTCTCTATTGAGACGTGAGAATGGATCTTCCCATGAGAGAATGGTGTGATGAGATCATGTAGGCTGGGCTGTGCCTGGACTTGTGCGTTGGTTCACTGGTTCAAATGACTAACTGGCATGATGTGTGATTAAGACCAGTCAACATTATGTATCTTGCTATATTTACATGCACTATTAACTAGAGTGTTAGATCCAAAGTTACAAGTTCAGATGTAACAATCAGAGCTTATCAATAAAATCTTATCTACAATGTGTGTGTGATTATTAGTCATTGTTGTAAGTAGCCCAGGTTTGTTGAAGTGGAACACATAACACTGACTTTGATGTATCGCCAGTTCAAATGTACTGAACCAAAAAAAGTTAGGGATCGTGAATATTTGGGGGATATTTATGATCACTAACTTTTTTTGTTTGGTATATAACACAAACATATTTCAGCTCTCAAATTTACCATATTTTCCGTATTAAGTGCCCTGCGCCAAGTAGAGCCCCAGGACCAATTTGTTAGTAATCTTTATAAGTACCACCTGCTAAGATACCGAAAAATTACATACCGGTCCTTATATTCTTTGTTTTGCAGAAAACCGCAGCTTAGGAGGGATATATAATTACCTGGTAACCATTATCGATTTTAGTTTGATCGACATTTGAACAAATTTAAGTTGAGTTGATTGTGGTTTTAATAAAAGCATCCTCCTTTGTGAAGGGCACTGGGTGCTTATTACGGCGAATACAGTTTTCTTTTGAGAAGAGTCATTCACGACAGATTCATTAGAGGGGGGAGTAGAAATCAACCATGAATGAGTCAATTTTGACATATGACAATCCATCTATTGTGTGTCATGGACATGATAGGTGACTCCGAAAATATCCCATACATATGTGTCATTGCCCTCCTTTACATGAAGTTGAGAAGAGTTGTTATCTTGTAAATCTCATGAATTGTAGCAATATTTTAACACTGACACAATCCCCCATTGTCTTAGTGACCTATTCCAAGGCTTTGCTACCCCATCATGCTACTGGTGACTGTCCTCTCAGTTGCTCATTTAGCCCAACCCAAATACATGACCACACCCATCCATTTCCCCTGACTCAGCTTAATTTGGAATTTTGAATTAAAATGTCAGTATTTTGAGAGATTGAGTAAAAAGACGATTCGCTGATAACCTGAAAGTGATTGGGATCAGATGAAGTTCTGGTTCAAATTCGTGTTTTAGAGTGTGTTGACTATATTATTACATCTAACCCTCTTATATTTTGCAAATTAAGATATATCTTATGTTCTGTAGTCTGTTCTGTGCTTGGCAAAACTGCTTTCTCGGCTATTTTTGAAGTCCCACATGCCAGCTGCATTGAGAAACACGTGGCAGATCATGACCAGGCAGGTTTCGCCACAATCCATCTGGCATGTTGAGAGTCAAATTTGCCTGAAATGTCTAGCTCTCCAGGACCGAGAAAGCTGTCACCAACAAAATTTATCAGTTGCGTGTCCTAGATACCAGTCCAGAAATTCTGAATTGATTATCGACAAAGTCATGTGGGAAGAGTCTCAGGTAGGCTAAGGGCTCTTATCTTGACCGTATTTTTAGCTTGCATGGAGAGTTAAATATTAGAACAGAGTCCAACCGTCTCTGTTCAGACTGGTCCATGTGACCGAACCAGGTAAACCTCTAGCATACATCAACTCCCTAATCTTGGCTAATTTTGACCTGGACATTCCATATGGAGTTTGTATTCACCAAGGTAGAGCTGTTATCTGTAAAATCCTTCAGTCTGTCCCACAGTTGGCCAGGTACATTACCGGTAGTCTCTCTACAGATCAACCAATCGCATTACCTTTACCATACCAGAGCCGTTGAGGTTCATACAGCAAGCCCTATAAACATATTACCCTTGTAAATTATATGGCCTGAAATAAACACTCCATTTTGCAATAGGTCTCTGTTAACTGACTAGCAAATATTTGCAGAAAGAGGTGTGACAATATAAATCCCAGATTGGGTGTCTCTGAAAAGCAAAGTCGACCACCAGGCTTAGATTAGGGGCAGGAGAGCTAGATTCTAACCTGCGACCTCTCATGCATTTGTCAGTCTTCTTTAAATCAATAGAAAGCAAGGAGTCATGTGTTTGTACTCGGCACTACCTTACAGATCAAATATAGATATGTTATCAACGAAGTATGTTTGAGAATCAGCAAATATGTGCATTACAGAAACAAATAATTGCTCTGAAGAATATTTTATATTTTGAAGTGTTTCAAGTTGGGCATGTGTGGGACAGTAACACTACCAGACTTTCAGTGCTCCTTTAGCAGATTAGTTATGGCCGTTCTAAGTTAAAATATGATGTAGACTAGTGGCATCTACAAGGTTATTTTATAAATATTTTATCACTTATTTAATATTACTCTTTGTGTGTAATATACAAACAAGAGTGCTATTTTACAGGTTCGACCTTTTCTGATCTTATCTGGCCAAAAATAACTTCAGGGTTCTTGGTGCAAGCTGCCAAGGCCACCCTTGTCTGAAGATAAGCGTAACAGACTGACAGTACGCATGTCTAGCAATATGGCTGCCCTTCCTGTCGATTGGGCAAAGTGACCAGTTTCACCCACACAAATGAGATAAGACTAAGAGAGATAGCTGGAGTAATACATCTTTTACCCAATGATAGAAATTTACAGTTTTAGCCCACTAGTCCTTATAATGATAACATATAGCAAAAGGACTATGCAAGGACAAGTGCCAATTTTTAACACTGTTTTATCCTTAAAGATATAATCTGAAAGAATCTGAAGCTCCATTTGTTTTGTAGAATCAATGTCAATTTAGATGAATTTTGAATCCTTTATCCCATGGTTATTTCAGGTCAGAATTGGTTGCCAATAACCAATGTTCGAAATACCTGCCTGCCCGACGGTCGGGTTATATTTCATATGTGAAAATATTCAAAATATTTCCCGATGATAAGCATTAATTCACATGTAAAGATGAATGATAAAATGTAACCAAAAAGAAACCCCGTTAGCTTATCCTGAGAAACATATGATTATAGTGGGCAGGCAGGTTTTGGTCAGGGCTGGCAAGTATTTCAGCTAGCCAGTCCTGTGGTCTGGCTGAAATTTTTGGGAGTTTCATACCCTGCAATAACCTATGCTTTTAAGAGGTGAATGAATGGATCGGGTGGTCAGGCTTAGTAACTTGGTTAACTGTGTGTCTTTGCTTCCCAGATCGTTGCTCATAACATCAATCACTGGATTGACATCCATATGTCTGATTGATGAGGTATCCATGTGCTGGCTCAACAATACTATCTATGTTTTCCTTGAGTACACATCCATGTGTTGGATTAATGAGACATCAGTGTGTCTGATTTTGGTTTAGTTTGTATCATGTTTAATGCCACACTCAGCAACATTACAGGTATATGACAGCAGTCTGTAAATAATCGAGTCTGGACCAGACAATCCAGTGATTGACATCATGAACATCGAGTCCCGCAATTGGGAGACGATGACATGCATCATCCGAGTCAGCAAGCCGAGTTACCCGATCGCCTCTTACGACAAGCATAGTCACCTCTTGTTAATCAGACACATGGATGTCTTGTTAATCAGACACATTGACCCGTCAAGACCTATTATACCCTGGATCTTCACGGGCCAGTGTGTCTGATTAACAACAAGTTTGTCAAGATACAGTGAGTGAGTGAGTGAGTATGGTTTTATTCCGCTTTTAGCAATATTCCAGCAATATCACGGCGGGGGACACCAGAAATGGGCTTCACACATTGTACCCATGTCGGGAATCGAACCCGAGTCTTAGGCGTGATGAGCGAACGCTTTAACCACTAGGCTACCCAACCGCCCTCGTCAAGATACAACCATAAAACACATTTCTACACAGATCAGTCACTTGAGACATGCTTGTGGCATCATTCAAGAGAAGAAACAATCCATATGTTAGATAACAATAATTATACCTTAATTAGGACAGTCACTTCCCATTACTCCTGAAAAACAATTTCCTTACCAATAAAACTGTCACCTACTTCTACTTCAGCATGTTGGCAGGAAATGTTACCTGTCAATGACTGGGCGACACCAATATATATTCTATCAAGCTATCAATATACACCAAAACGTGACGCCAGTGAAGATCCAGGGTAGAAAAGGTCTTCACCAACCCATGCTTGCCGTAAAAGGCGACTAACGGGATTGGTTGATCAGACTCACTGACTTGGTTGATGCATGTCATCGTTCGACCAATTGTGTGGATCGATGCTCATGATATCAATCACTGGATTGTCTGGTCCAGACTTGATTATTTACAGACCGCCGTCATATAGCTGGAATATTGATGTGTGCGGCATTAAACAGCCAACCAACCAACCAAAACTTGAATACTAGTATCCTCACAGATCACCTGGCTGTGGGGATTCCAGGTTAGAATTGCTGCCAAGCTGCCTATGCTGATTGTAAGAGGTGACTGTATAAATTATGGGTTTAGTCTCAGTTATTTACTGGCTATTGTGATATAGCTGGAATAAACTGTTAAACAACAAACAAACAAGTGTATGAACAGACTAAAATAAGGATTAGGTGGTCAGCTAGGTGACTGTCGCTCAGATCATGCTGAACATCAGGTGGTCAGCTGGGTGACTGTCGCTCAGATCATGCTGAGGATCGGCTGGTCAGCTGGGTGACTGTTGCTCAGATCATGCTGAACATCAGGTGGTCAGCTGGGTGACTGTTGCTCAGATCATGCTGAACATCAGGTGGTCAGCTGGGTGACTGTCACTCAGATCATGCTGAAGGTCAAGTGGTCAGCTAGGTGGATTTTGCTCAGATCATGCTGAGGAACGGGTGGTCAGCTTGGTGATTGTTGCTCAGATCATGCTGAGGATCGGTGGTCAGCTAGGTGGATTTTGCTCAGATCATGCTGAGGATCGGCTGGTCAGCTTGATGACTGTCGCTCAGATCATGCTGAGGATCGGCTGGTCACCTAGGCGATTGTCACTCAGATCATGCCGAGGATCGGGTGGTCGGCTAGGTGACTGTCACTCAGATCATGCTGAGGATCAACGGTCAGCTAGGTAACTGTTGCTCAGATCATGCTGAGGATCGATGGTCAGCCAGGTGAATGTCACTCAGATCATGCTGAGGATCGGGTGGTCAGCTAGGTGACTGTCGCTCAGATCATGCTGAGGATTTGGTGGTCAGCTAGGTGACTGTCACTCAGTTCATGC